GACGGTCGATCTGCTCACCGAGCATGACGTTTTGTCACCAACCAAGGAGACATCATCAGTGCGCGGTTCAGCAATGCAGTGATCAACCGCACACTGATGATATCACCTTGACTGGTGACGTTCGCAAGCCAACACCCAAGCTCAGTGATCAGATCAAGGATCACCCGAACAAGCACCAATAACAAACAATCAATTCAACATGTCCAGCTGATTTTCAACGAACTTGAACGTCATTAGAATGGCTAACAACTCCAACGAATAGTCCAAATTTAGACGAAATAAAACAAGAGGAATTCCCGGGGACAGTAGCTACACAAACCTGGTGTATTACGTTTCTCCTAATGTTGTCATACGCAAATGAAAAAAAACACACTATTTCGAGGAGACGTTGCCTCTGTGGAGGAAAAGTCCACTGGAACCGAGCCGCCTTTAAAAATGGCTGATGAAACCCCATAATAGAAATACCGTTTATCACTGGTCTTCACACAATATGGTCAATATCAGTGTCACTGCCTCCACACTACTACGGAACAGTAGTCAGCTTCTAATGATTTGGCTCAACTTGATTGACTGTGTTGGCAGTCCAGTGTGTGTCACACGTGTTTCAGGAGGCTGATATCGGGGGCAAGACCACAGTAACGTTATCTGGTTCCTGGATGATCACATCGAGCAGCGTCATAGTTTCCATCTGTCATTCTCAGTCGGTTGAGAAAATGCAATATGTTATAAGCATCGAACGAGAACAAATGAACAAGCCTGACTGACTGCTTGTTGAAATCATCAAAGCTACACAAGCTTTCCTCCAAAAAGACAGCGGACGAACCAAATTAGAGAAGGCCATGTTTGATCGGTAGCGGATTGAGAACCCTGGGCAGAGTTAATAATACTTACACCCAATAACGTGTGAAACTTGTCATGTAACTAAACTGTTTACTGACGTAACTATGCAAGAGCTTTGGACATTTAGGTCGCTCACTCCGTTCGAAATGTCTTTTTACCGCGAAACCTATCCACATCACTTACAGTTTTGCTAAGTTGCCTCCCTTCCTCACCAGGAAGAGAGGAGAGATTTTATCGCCCGGCATTGTTCACAAGTGAATTGCAAGGATGTGTAGAGTGCCTACAGTACAACCGATATTGATATCTGAACCTGCAGTTTACTACCCAGAAAAAGCAATCAACTCCACGACGCAGCTTCGTTGTTATTTATTATTAGATTCCTCCAATACATGACAGAGTGATATCAATCAAGATGCCGACAACCACGAACAACTGGTTGTCATCTGAACACGATAGAACGGACACTAGTATGATACATCACGACTCAGGCATCGATAAGACCAAAAAAGGACATTTGAGTGAACAACAGATCCTCAACAGTACTTTCTACCTAGGCACAGTGCTCACCATCAAACCATAGATATTTGTGCTACAGTCATCTTCCTTTCTTTCTTTGAGAAACCATCTCCGGGGGATTCCAAAATGTTCTACTCGGCAAGGGTGCTTCATTCTGTGGAAGTGACTAACGGTAACCTTATCGCACACCTGCAGTGCGGCATTGTAATTTTATTTTAACCTAGGTATTTCTGAAAGTCCTTGGTTCTGTTTGCCGGAAGGCGATCCTTCAATTGCACCAATGCAGAGCGCAGAGTGTCCACCCTCTGGAAAGTTACACTAATGTTGGCCATGTCTATAATTCTTCGAATTACCTCCGATGTCCCTGGTTTATATGGGATAACAGCTGTCCTGATCCATTCCCTGTTGGGTTTCTCTACCGGTAACAACACCCTTCGCAATTGACGCCTAATCAAGCTAGCTGGATATCCACAACCCCGAAGTTTGTTCATTACCTCAATTTCGTCCGCTGTTCGATTAGCTTCTTCTGTGCACAGGGCTCTTACTCGCCTAAACACTGATGAGGCACTACTCGTTCAGCTGTAACAGCCTTCTGATGCCTAGCTGCCATGCCACCCGAAGGAAGCATAAAAGCTGGGATATTGCCAGGTTGCCCTGGTCTAGACAGGGGAAGTCGAAAGGCAGGGGTCGTGTTCGAACCACGGACCTTCCGGTCAGTAAATTCGCGCTCCAACCACTTGAGTTACCTCGCCCCTTTCCACTTTGAGGCAATACTAGCGAATACCGACTCGGGATGTGCTAACGAATAGTTCGAAATCGCCCTATTGTCAGCTGATTTTTTCACACACTGCGGTCTTAAGTTTCCCACAATCTTGAGTCATGCGATGTAGGAAGGGCAGCGTACCCGAAGTTGACTCTATCTCCATTCTAAGTTTGATGTGTGGATTCAGGTCAGATTCAGATAGTTCTAAAAACTCACTGACCTTGTTTCGTTTCACCAAGACGAAAGTGTCATTCACATAACGCCAGAATATATTGGGTGGGTAAGGAAATCCGGCTAAAGCTCTCTGTTCAACATCTTCCATAAAATATTTTTCGGAACAGGGAGATGATGACTTTCCATCGGTTCCAAGCAGTTCCTCCCGTTCTACTTGTAAGCGATGAATCTGAGGACACATCGGCATTTGTTTGCCCACTGTTCTGAGTAACAACAGAAAAATTAGCCAATGCTCCGATGTTTAGATAAACTCCTGGTGGTGGTGGATGGCCTATCCTATCCACCCACCCCTGAAAGCAATTATCCCTTCGATGCAGCTTAGTACGCATCAGGCAGCAAATCATAGGGCAGCTCACAATGTACATCCTAGCGTCAGTCCCAGTAGATGGCAAGCGGGTGATAGGTGCAAGTGGAAACCAAACTCAGAATTCAGAGAAATGATCGCGTCGACCAACTAACGTAAGTGAAAAATGAGCGCTACTTGATCACTCGTCGGAAGTGAATTTGGTGGTGCCCCGCATACCATGTTGCCATAGAACCGTCATTAACTACTTTACTTTTAATGACTGTGTAGAGGTCTGAGGTGTCCCCTTTGTTTCAGAGTCTTCAGATCGGCTGCCGCAGGTGAACCACATAGGAATGTGACCGGGTCAAGAGTACTACTACTCGCTGACCAGTTCAACTCATATGTGGTAGGATAGATACTTTGTCTTCTAAGTGAGAGTCTCGGACTCGCTCGCAACTTCCTCTCTATTGGTTTGAACATTTAACTTTTCGGTTGCGAGCGGCTGATCAGTAGTGTGCTTAACTCGCACTTAGACAGGATACAGCGCCGCTGATCCTTCAATCACGGGATCCACATCACGCGGTCACACGTGTTGACCAATTAGGATGGAACAGCTGTACAGTGTTTCTCGGCCTTTCAGCATAAATTGGCTTCACCTACAGGACGAAATCTCCACACTCGATGACGCGGCAGGCGTGAGCTATCAGTTTAAACATCCAAGTCTACTGTCCACCGATGGGAGAACTAGGTATTCCTTCTGGATACGCACATCAGAGTCGTCATGACAGGCCACTATAGCTAATTAAAACGTTCTGTCAGCTAAGAGGACATTTCGAATCAGGAGTGCAACTATGGTGGTTCTGTCACATATTGCGCATACCCAGTCATTGTTCTGCGGAGTACCACTTTCCGTGAACAATTCAGTTGTACGAAAAGAGACTGACTTGACCAAGGAGTATGAAAGTGATTACGGAAAGTCTTGGTACTGTCGGTGTGACTCGTCCTTCAGGATTGGGTCCGCATGATCCCCCCTGCATTGTTGCAATATATGGCTGCCAATCGATGTCGTTGGTGGACCCATTTTGATCACAAGGCTGTCAGCCGCCGACGGGGAGCCACAGCTTAAGGCTTTTGCCACTTCTGGATCAGACAATATGATTTTGATGGTGTCATTTTGTGAGCGCGCCCGACAACTCGAGTGGATCCTCGCAAGTGAGCAGGAGGCATGCAAATGCACTATCTTTTGAGAACCAGTGAAGTCCAGCAACATCAATCTGAGGTAGCTAAACTACTATCTACAGTAAACCAACACTGTACCGGTGATACTACTGATGAGGAGGCATGCGAGTAGTATGTTTTCTCGTAAGTCCGCTTTGTGTCTCTTGAAAAGTGAGATCTATTACGGAATTTGTGGAGTCGCTTTGTAGCATTTGCTCGGATTTGAGAAACTGTCAATGAATATCCAGAAAAGTTCAGGAAGACGCGTTGAAAAAGGGGATGGATATTCAGCTTTTGTAAACAAGATGCATATGAGAGTTTTGCTTCCCTGTCCAATAGTGTATAACTGTTCAGTTGGCATTTTATAATGAATAACTCCGCAGCGAAGGCTCTCCTTTCACCGGAAGCGAGGACGTGGGGATGAAGCATGAGAAAATATGGAAGACACGATGCTAACAGCCTCCAGTTCTGCGCCTACCACTTCTCCGACACGACCTAATGATCAGGATTAAAACAAGATTGCTGGGAAACTCTTAGCAGGAGGCAGCGAACGCGACGATGCATGCAGATCACTCAAACGCCACATAGTGAAGAGCCTAACGCAAGACCGAGAGCTGTGGTGGACGATGGAAGCTCGGGAACTGGAGAGGGAATTCGCCACCGGAAACACTCATGCCCTATACCAGTTAATACGATTGACTGGCCAAACGAAAGCAACGGTCAGTGAAAAGATAAGTGGAAAAGGCGGCTCATTAAAACACTCAAAGAACGCCAACTAGAAAGATGGACTAAACACTTTGAAGGAAAATTTAGTTAGCCTCCCGCAACGTGGCCCCTAGAGAGAGTGCATGGGGACGAACGGGATGCGAACTTAGGTTGCCAGTTACAAGAAGAGATAACTTGCGAAGCATCCTTCCTAAAAATGAGAAATCAGCAGGGCCGGACGGGCTGCATCCGGTCCTCTTCAAAGTAAATCTAACAAAACTTATCGGTGCTAATGGAATGAAGGGAATATGCCTAGGGTCACCCTTGTTGACTGGACACAGACAGAAGTAGACTCGTGGGAACCAAGCTGGGTGCCGACCTACGAGAGGATGCATTGATCACATTTCTACCCTCCGGCAGACTCTCGAAGATCGACACTGCTTCCAGCAACCAACAAGGGAACTCTTCCTCGAATCGATTTTGCAGCCACTGGTGGTGTAAAGATACTCTCTATAAATTTCTAGCATTACTTAAAGCGCTGTCTACCAACTCTCCTGGGGGCGTGAAGGTCTACGGTAGGCTCTCTCATGAGTTCACCACATTAAGTGGTGTCAGGAATCTTTTCTTTCTCACTTCATCGTTGCTATCATCATGGTAAACTTACTACCAGCCTCTAATGCCCGTGGGATTGAAATGCTTCCAGGACATTGACTCGCACAGGTTGGTGCTAATGGAATGAAGGGAATATGCCTAGGGTCACCCTTGTTGACTGGACACAGACAGAAGTAGACTCGTGGGAACCAAGCTGGGTGCCGACCTACGAGAGGATGCATTGATCACATTTCTACCCTCCGGCAGACTCTCGAAGATCGACACTGCTTCCAGCAACCAACAAGGGAACTCTTCCTCGAATCGATTTTGCAGCCACTGGTGGTGTAAAGATACTCTCTATAAATTTCTAGCATTACTTAAAGCGCTGTCTACCAACTCTCCTGGGGGCGTGAAGGTCTACGGTAGGCTCTCTCATGAGTTCACCACATTAAGTGGTGTCAGGAATCTTTTCTTTCTCACTTCATCGTTGCTATCATCATGGTAAACTTACTACCAGCCTCTAATGCCCGTGGGATTGAAATGCTTCCAGGACATTGACTCACAGCCACAGGTTGAGCAGACGGCATGCCTATTGTTAGGCCTGATGCCTGGTACTGCAGACAATAACAGGTGGCCTAACTAACTCTCCCTCACGCGCTTCACACCTGCAAGGTGTAGAGTGCTGCTGTAAGGCTGGGTGGACTCGAACCCTAACCTCATGATTGCGGATGAGTCAGCTGAGATTGTAGACAAATTTCTTTACCGGCGGTCTGTGAGTCAGCTGAGATTGTAGACAAATTTCTCTACCGGCGGTCTCGCAAAAGATGATATTTCTATCCGGTTTGGAAAGGTCAGAGCAATTTCCGTCAACCTGCAGCACCTGTGGAACAATATTAGCCTTTCTGTCAAGGTTCGAGTTGTGTGCTCCACCTTGTAATATGGGCAAGAAAAGTACCGGTTTCACCATAGGTGTCTTCGGAGCGTTGCTCGAGTTTGGTGGGAACATCGGATCAGCAGAACTAGTGGGACGAATGGATTCCGGACGAAGTAATGCCTACGATAGATGAACTGACCACACCCCACAGGTGGCGCTCACTTGGTCAGGTGCTCCCTATGCCAGTTGACCGAATTCCTTGGACAGCACTTATCGCAAAACAGCGCGGAGGGTAAAAGTGAACCAGGTGAAGGTCAAGCAAGGACTTGACAACGAAGTATCAAAGTCATCATCAGAAAAATCAGCCGCACTGGTCATTGCCATCTTTCTGGATGGAAAGCGCAAGATGGGGAGTATCAATGGTTAGGAACATCGGCAGATATGTCCCCGCCGCGCGCTCAGTGGCTCTCATGCATCCAACCTGTTGCCCTCGATGCACAGTTCTCCCTCCCTGGTGAAAAGTGGTTCTTCCGCCAATTATATTAGCTATTGCCTCCGAAGCGTACTCATCACCCCATCTCTTGGCGATAAAAAACGTGACAGCCATCACCACCGTACAGCCTGCACGCGGTTTTACAGCTGATGATGATGAACGGTATCTTTGCTCACGGTTTCTATCCCGAATGAGCGTCTGAAGGTGCAGACAGGTTGTGGTAGGCTAGAACTAGGTCCCATCCCGATCCACGTTCATTTTTTCTTCACAACAGAGCTTGCAAACGAATCGTCGTTGAGGGCGTTGCAGCATCGGCCCTCAATAGCGATGTTGTACTACCGACGAGGATGAACGAATCAACAGTTTCCGAACTAAAAAACAACTTCTGCGCAGGTCCTATGCTTTCAACTCTAGTCGCACGTGCCTGATCTATCTATCAACCGAAGTGGAGGTCTTACTCATCATTTCGTTGCCTAACTCTAACGGACGGCCAATTAAGATAGAAAGTTGTCAGGACGCGCCCAGACAGAAGAAAAAGCACGTGTGCAGAGAGTGACGTATCCCTAAGGTCACCATCGGTACGACACGTCCGGAAAGTAGGTGAGTTGGAGGTTCTCACCAAACACGGCCTAGCAACACACGACCCGCGCAGTGGGCCTGAGACTGTTCACAATCGGAACACCACCATTGGCTGTATGGAACGGACAAGTGAACGACCATATTTGGCCAATTAGTCATCCTATGTATTTACGCAGACGCTCTGTATGTTTTGTCCTGGCAATACAGCCGTGTCCCCAGTTCTCTGTCTTCTCGCTATCGCGTAGTCTGGCAGGCTCAGTGCAGGCGTAACCCATAGACGGCCACCCACGATACAACAAAAGTATTGGACTTACAGCCGAGGAGGACGCTCCCTCAACCTCTCTTGGTTGAAAAATACTGCCATTTCATGCGATTTCTCAAACATATCTCGCAGCTACATGGAGGGTGCACAACTTCGGTCGTATCCGATTCGGGAGCCTTCCCAGTCTGTGTACTGAGTGAATTACCAGTAATGGAAGATTTTTACGGCTCTAATGCATCATACCTCAAGCGATTGAAGCAATACTTGATATTGCCATCAATCGACATGGGATGTTTTGACGAGGAGACTGATTGGTTGATTGGCTTGTCACTTGATTAAGAGATCTACTCTGTTACGCGAAGAACCCGGACTGGCCAACTTGTAGCATTTGGTTCCACCAGATTAGGGTGCCAGGTTTTATGAAAACAATGCAAATGGGCAAAGTTGCAAACGCCTCAATGCTCAGCTGGTATCTGCTGGAAAACGTAGAGGCTGCATCTGAAACGCCATTCCCACCGTCCTTAAAAGCATAGCAGTGACCTTAGGCCTCGGGGTATCATCAAAACCTTGTCCGACGAGTATGTTCCACAGGACGCTCTTAAACTGATTTATCATGAATTCACGGCAGACTATGTCACATAATGTTAAGAAAACTACTCAAACTCATCAACCGGAATATGAATTGTGATTCTGGTTCTGATTTGATCTCCTAGAGTTCTCCGTCAGAAGGGATATCGCAGAGAGAGAGAGAGAGAGTATACCACACCAGGTTCAAGCGGACTGTGAAAGTAATCAACTAGATGCAACAGAAGCGTCGAAATTCGGAAATAGAACCAAGCACCGTCAGAAGCGTGCCGGCCAAATCCAGGCTGAAAATCAAGAAATCTACAGCCGTGTTGCTCCACACAGAAGCTTTTAGTGACTCACCAAAAGAATCCCGTGGTGATTCATTCATTGAACCGCAACAGCTTGGTTGCTTAGAAATAGCTGAATAGGAACAGAGACAATAGGGTAGTCTGTAGCCTCAATCGACTTTCGAAATCTAAGCACCCCCCTGTACATAGTATGAAGGTGTCAATACTGTGTACTCTTTAAGGGATGGAGGGCATTTATCGGTGTTTGGAAAGAACACATTGCTCAAGCGATAGGGGGAGATTGAGTCCGTTTATGTAGATTAGTTGCGCACACCCATTGAAAGTTCAAATAATATTAGTCACTTTCAGGAACATCCTTCAACCAGTTCCGTTGTAAAAAACTGAGCTATTGGAGCGAATGACGGCATACTGTCTCGTAATAGTTCTGTTATGACATCCTTTTGATGCGTAACTGACCTGAAAACCGAGGACTGAGATATCGCCAAGCGATTACAAAGCTTGGATCGTAAACGAGGTTGGGAAGGAGGAATGCTTTTCAGGCAGACGGAATATCTCAGCCTGGCGATCTGGATCGATCTATCGCGACTTTTGATTGGCTGACCAATCAGAAGCCCTAACAATTAGAATCGTAAAGTTGACGGAAACTCAGGGACTGCGCCTACCTGATGAGCCCCAAGAAGGGCGAAACCGGTCGTGGGCTGTGGAAGAGTTTTCAGCAACCTTGCGGGTAGTTTCCTTTAGAATCGTTCTAATTCATCTGACTAGTTGGCTGCCTCGTTTCCGGCATTTTTAAGATCAAAAAAAGTGGACCAACCTTTACGTTCGCTTCACTTTACCCATACAAACACGGCTATCTAGCAAGGGTTGTCCCAAACAATTTGCTTTCTTATCAAGGTCAATCTACGGTGAGCTATTCAAGGGCCTCTACTTGGTCCAATCAGATTTGTAGATAAATTTGGATAGCGTCGGTGTTCAGTCAGTTGCCGCTAGAAACCATCTCGAAACGCAATACGTCAGAGTAAAATCAGCGCAGGGATTTTTGAATAAACTGCGTGAAATCGACCGGATTTATGATATCCACTTTACTGGCAAAGTTGTTTGGATCATGCCCCGAATGTACTGCAGCAGCTGGGATAAATACACCAATGACTTCTCTAGATTCGCGAAAAATGCCACTCGGTGATAAATCGGCACATCAGGGGTCATGTACCCAGGGGGCTTTTTGTTGTGCAGTTGTTAGAAGCGATCAACATGAGCAGGAAATGGAGAAGTCATCAGATATCCAACAACTGTGGTTCAAACACGAGACGATGCAATTAGAAGATAAGTGCTGGGTTGTGCATCTGGCACCACACGCGGCGGTGGTTTGGTCATGGAAGAGCGCTGTTTTTCGTGCCTCAGTTTGAATGGCTTTGATTGAGGGATAGTCAACCTTTGGTTAGGAAACGGGGCATCGGAACAAACGCGAAAAGTTTGAGTATTATCCGGGTGACTCACCTTCTAGGTAAGGTTTGGATGCTAAAAGACAGCTACCAATCAACGTTAACAGGTTCATTGTGATTAGTTTAGCATAATTTACTGGGTAGTTTGTATGGTGTAATAGTTACGTTGCCTGTTCCGTCTTACCTCCATCGTATAAAACATGGATTCTACGAAATAGCCTGGTTGTGGATGGTGTTCTGTTAGCTGAGCTTGAAATTTTGGTTGCGAACGTTTCATCATTTTGAGTGACATTATCAGTGGGTGGTAGGTTAGCGTTGCATTGTTGCTTATTGGTGAGACGGTGTGAAGGCGTTGAGTAGCGTATTCATATATACATCTCACTGGCCCGGGGCTGACCACTGATCGTGACTGGTGGTTCGGGTAATCGATCTGCTGGTTGGACTATTCTCTGATTGGTCGATGACCGGATGACTCTTGACCCCTATGATTCACCTGACGAATTTTGTCTAGTTGGTTCTCTGGGTGCCATCTGTACCAACTAATCTCCCAATATTTCGCTCAGCAGTTCAGTTTTATAGCAATGAATCACCGGTGGTAGCTCCTGCTCGAACACGAAATCCTGGGTAATCATAAATCCCTTACAAGTACACAACAGTGAAATAACCTATTTAGAGGGCATTATTCTAGCGAACAAATGTTCCCAAAAACAAAAGCCGATTGCCGAGGCAGCGGCCTGGAAGTGTTCATAATGGTCACGTGTTCAATTCCAAAATGCCGACCAATACGCACCAGGGTGACTGAGCTTTTCGGGATCTGATCATATCCATACCAAGACATCCGGTCAAAATCTAAGCATACGCCTTGGCCTGTACAAGTTAGGGAACTAATAACATAAAGGATTCTAACTAGCCACTATTGAAGTGGCTCGGTCAGGAGGATTTCTATCACCTAGAAAGAATAGCAGAGAAAATTGAATGAGTTCAACCGAAACTAATCAATATACAGCTCAGTTGGATGCTGACTGACGTGGAGGATGTGCGGAACGTGACTTCACGGGAGGGGGCGCTGAGTAGAAACCCACAAGCCGTTGTCACGATACAGGTGACACGCATAAGTGGAGAGTCATTTTGAAATGGCAACTGATGATTGCTTAAGGCAACCAAAACAAGTACGCGAATAAGTGATCCCGAACAATGTTGCTTGTTGGACAGACTACTATATCACGCAACTGGAATACTATTCATTCAGCTGTAACACCCTTTCGGTGCCTAGCTAACACACCACCAGAAGGAACGACGAGGGCTGGGACACTGCCTGGTTGCCCAAGCCTAGACAGAGGAAGTCGATAGGCGGAGGTCAGGTTTGAATCACACACCTTCCGGTCGGTAAACTCGCGCTCTAATCACTTGGGTCATCTTGCTATACGGAATACTGAACAGGATATCAAATCGAAATGCGTTGCACAAAACTAATTTCACAAACACTCGCAACTCTACAATGCTAAGACCAAACTAGGCAAGCGCAAAAGGCTTTGTGTTATTAGAAAAAAACGGTTCTCTTGTTCCCACTGAAAATGCATACCGCTTGGTAAAAAAACAACAACAAAAGAGGCGGTGGGTCAACAGGGCAGGAGAGGCATACCGCTTGGTAAAAAAACAACAACAAAAGACGCAGTGGGTCAACAGAATCGGCAGGAGAGTAGAATTCCACCAGGTAGGGTACCGACTAACGGTGTGTAGAGCGAGGACATGAGTAGTTGAAAAATCCTACAAATCTTGGTGCGTAGGTATGTACAGACACACGAATATAAAGAGTAGAGACATGCAGGAATATGCAGTTTGTCGGAATTAAATGCAAACACTTCTAAACGAAAATCCCTAGGTATAAACTCAAGTGCTCTGGCACTCGGGGGGAGGGGAGAGCCACGGTACCCAAAGGTGAAGTGAGCACACATAAATTCCCGCTAAAATCAAAACACAAAAATGGCTAGATATAAACTGGGGCCACGATTTGGGGCCGGCGGGCTGCCAATAAACCTATCAATGGAGTGGACGCAAAGTTGCCCCCAAATAGGAAGAGGATGTCCTGAAAGAGTGCGGTCGTAGAAAAACGCTACAGACGAAAAAGTGGAATAGAAAAGCGCTCAAAAATCACCAACCAGCATATGCCTATTGTTAATAGTAGTAGCCGTAATAAGATAGCATATACAAAGCAATACAAAAAGAGAATACGGGTGGGGGGGGGTAAGGTTGGGTAGGGTAGACAAAAAGCACCGTGTTAGTCCAGATCAGGAGATACTGGGGGCATCACGTGACTAAGGAAGCGAGGGCAAGATAACCGGAAAGTAGCCTGAGCAACGGCAAGGAATGATTTCTTTTGGAAAATATCGGATAGGGCGAATAAAAAAAGACACCTAGGGAGATGTTGCGAACGGAATAGCAGTTTAACGAACTATGCACCTCCAGAGAGTTGCGATAAAACGACAGTTACATAACGGCGGATCTAGGTAGTGACCGGCGGCAGCTGTACACGTCCAGGAGTTGACGAGCAGATTATTTTGTCGTACATGGTGACCAAATGACGAAGCTGTCCAGGAGAGAGTAGACCATAGTCAACCAGATTTGCGAAATGCAAAATCAAGTTGTTTCTCAAGTGACGACGATGGATGGAGCTTGCATAGCGCTGGACGAAGCACGCAGCAAGGTTGGCTAGCTGACTGTCGCAAACGACCAATTCTGATGGTCCGATCGAGAGAAGCAGGGCGTTCCATAATTGCATCAGTTGCTTCTCCCCCTGAAGTCGACAGGTGAAAAATAACGATAGAAGGTGAACTCCTCGTTTTGAAAGCTTTCCTTAGCAGACAACTACTCTGCGGCATACAGATGCATAAGATAGAAAAACAAATCAAACAAGTGACGATTACTTCAACTTGTGTCGAACATAAGCGGGCCAGATTCCGTGGAACAAGTTTACGAGAGGTGTCCGATTCGACCAAACTGAATATTGCTTGTGAACACGACAGTACAGCTGAGCACGCCCAGATCGATTATGTATAAGCGTTATGGGACTCCTCAAACTGCAAGACCCGGGACTCGGGTACCTCAAAGCGAAACGACAGAACACACTACTCAAAAGTCTTCTGGAAACCCTCCGACATTTTAGTGAATACGAATAAAAAATGTGTTGGGGAATGAACAACCTCAATCCGGCCACATTCCAGAGGAAGCTTCTCTCGTGCTTGCTAAACTGAAAATCTTTCCGCGCACGAATGCTCTCAGCTCAGATAAACGCCTGGCAACTGACTTGTGGACGGTTCAGCTGATCGACAGCCGATCAAAGCATCCGAGACGCTAATACTTCGACAGATTGCTGACAAATGTAGGGACACGTCAATGTTTGTCAGTCTAAGATATACCCCCAGCTTCAGAAGCCAGACGCGAGCGCAAAGAAGCTTCAGAATTCAGTAACCAGTCATTACAGTAGAGAGGCAAACCAATCCAAGCAACCAGTCAAGGTAAAGATTGGCATGCTAAACCAAGAGCTCAGTCCCTACACCTAGAATTCCTGTACTAAAATTGACTCTTATGCTCAACCTGAAATTGAGCTTTCAGTCGTGGCAGCGCGACCCCATAGAGTCTATCTGCTCAGGGGTCTTTTATCCCCTAGCTAAACTTTTATTTGAGTAACGAATAATCACACACACAACCAAATGGCATCAACTGCTCATACACAAACCATGATAAGGTCCAAGCCTCGGTTTAACCTTTGTGCTAGACCAGATTACCGAGTGATAGAATGATTATAAAGCCGGATCTACGCCGAGGCTATCTGACGTCACAAACTGCAGCGGCAGTATAGTCCATTGGTCTGTTCACTGCAATCACGTTTATCGATCGACTGCTCTGCTAATTAATCTAGCCTATCGGCCTGAGTAGTGACACTAAGCGTTTGACCAAGGTCCCTGATGTCTACATTAGCATCCTTAACACCAAATAGTTTGCAAATGAGTGTAATTCACCAACTGTGTACAATCTGGTTTCAAGTAGAATATAAAGTTGAAGGGAACCCGCCTACTTGAAGAGCTTCATAAAGAGCTAAACCGGTCGTGAACTGTCAAAGAGTTTTCAGCAACCTTATGAGTAGTGCATTACGTCTGTACAATGTATCGCGATATCTCAGATGTCGTATCAACTGAGACATGAGGCGGCCCGTTGCACCATAATAAGTTGCCAATAACATCATAAACGAGAGATTCATTTGAGCTCCCGTGAATTTCGTGCAATTTAGGTCCAAGTAGAGCATAAGTTTGATGGGAACTCGGGGACTGCGCCTACCTGATGAGCCCCAAGAAGGGCGAAGCTGGTCGTGGACTGTCGAAGAGTTTTCACCAGCTTCACGAGTGGTGTGCTACGTCTAGTCATTGTTGACCTACTGAAACGGAGAAACACCCAAACCACGCCCAGCTTCCTTTCAAGCTGGTTTAATTGACCTATGGAAATATGTAACAAACTGTGATGGACAACATTTGAGTGATGGGCTTAGGACACTTGTTCTGCAGCCAGACCAAGATTTACTTTTAGAAGTGGCGAAGTCTGGGTAAGAGTGACAATCTGCACAACCACGTCATCACTTTCAGCTGATATCGATTTTTGGGTGAAAGTAGTTTCAACTACATGGTTGGCCTCCACAGAAAGTTCTGTGATTTTTCTCCTTGGCTTACTTGATATTACTGACAATATTGCGTGCATGTACCTTAATGCCGGTGTTGATTAACGAAAAAACGCGCTGTTACGATCGAATGCAGCCATAGTTGAACTCGATTTTGGGGTTGGCAAACCATACTTCGCATATAACTCTCTTGAGTACTGTATACCAGTGGGTCAAACAGGTGAGTCTACATTCACAATTCCGGGGCCTAGCAGCTTGACAGCATAGGGGTAGCCAGGTCTTGGTCTCTCGCACAGTTGTGCCCAAGGACTTGCAGGTGTTAAATGGATCAATGACGTGACGTCATCTCTTGTATTGTCTGGTGCACCATTCCGAGTAGGATGGCTAGGCGAGGTGTAGACTCTTACCCGACATGAACGCATCGCGCCACCTCGATCCGGTACGGGTCGATCACATCTATTTCCCGGCAGATACGTTTTCGACCTCGGGTCACATCAGCTTCTACTGGACTGCTGCTTGGGAGCAGCCAAGCAAAGATGGGCAACGCAGACCGCATATTTTCCATCACTTATCATAGCTGTCACCTGTAACCCACCCAAGTGAAACAACACCGGCTCCTAATATACTTTTCAAAGGAAAGTAAAAAAAACAACACAAATATGGTGCAGACTGTGTAGGCAACCTAAAGAGACACATTTCTAAAGTAGTAGGACAGTGGTATGTCGGGTTTTCGCTGCAATGAACGTATATTGTGGGGATTACCCTTATCTTGTGGAAATGTGTGACAGCAACGATAACAATGATGCGAACGTGCCCTGCAAGTTTGGATGTCATTGGGGGGCAGCAGGATAGAATGGCTCACGTGCCGAAATATCACCGATGGTGAAGATCATGGGTTGCTAGTGTGGTGGAATGGTGGTAGCCCGGGTGCATAAATTGGCAACCGGTCAGGTGGCTGTTCGCCGACCTTGGCAACTGCAACCACCCACTAAGGGCACTGAAGATGTCTCCTGGAATGGCGACGAGACTTCAGCAAATCGGTTACCAAACTCAGCGAACAGATCAACAGACACCTCATCAATGACCCAGTTTGTGTATACTGTTCGGTCAAGTCCCTACAAATATATATATATATATATATATATATATTCTTCGCTTAATGTGATATAGATGTCTGAATGGTGAATAACATGGAAAGCTGTAAAAATCAGTTGCATAAGGGAATATTTTGGAGCTTTTTGGGAACCGACAGATGCCTCTTCGTTTTATCTACTCAATGCATTAGTAATAAAAAAAACAATTGTTCAGCTGTAACACAGTTTCGGTGTCTGGCTGCCACGCCGCCCGAAGGACGCACGGGAGCTGGGGGACTTCCAGCCTGCTCAAGTCCAGACAGGAGCAGTCGAGGTGCAGAGATTGGAATCGAACCACGGACTATCCGGTAGGTAAATTTGCGCCTTGTAGAGATGTAACAAATTTATTGTATAAAAACGGAAAAATTCACGTCGTTCCACTAATAGCTTTGTTATGGAGAGACAATGCAGCCTAACTTGGTCGTTTCATTTTTTGAAGCTTATTTCACTGGCTCCTACGAAATATGCTACTCGATATCTTCACCACGCGAAGGTTTCGCACAAAAACGCGGTCAAATTTGACCACAGAGGTAGCAGTAAGCTTGAGTTATTCCACTGTTGGACATTCAGTTCAACGAATTATTCCGGAGGTTAAGAGGTCGGGAATGTGGTCTGCCCTTGAAAAGTAAACAATTTACGATTTTCCGAAGGAGCTCATTCGTGGGAGGAAGGGAAGACTGTAAGTGATTTGATAAGCTGACTTGAAGTTGCGGCAAGTATAGATATGCGAAGAGATGCGCGGGGGTGGATGGAAATCTGGACACTACCTGGTTGACATCAGTGAACTCCTCCACTTTACGCTGGTAGTGTTGCCGAAGCCACTCAGGTGCATCCTCCGCCTCAGAGTCATGGTCGAACTCGCACGCACGAAGCGGTTGAACAGACCGAGTGTGGTAGTAGACACGATTGTGTCCGAGAGCCACTGGCCGTACAGAAAGAGTGGGGTCCAGAGGCTGTCAGTTGATAGGAAGAGAGCAATGGGGTATCCAGTTACATCAGACAAATTTACTTTAAAGCATAAGATTCTGAAATCACTGGCGCGGTTATGTGATGAATACAACGTTAATCGATCTATTATCCAACCAGTACCAGTTTCATTGATACGTACGATGCCTTGGGTGTGGTAAATGGCGAGGCCAACGTGGGTGCGATAAAGTTACCCCTGTGTGATGAACACAGGGCTGATGAACATCAGCCCTATCCCGGATAGTCATGGAGACGCTGGCGTGTGGACCAAATCCAGTGAATAAGACGACTACAATAAATGTCCACAAATCGGGGTACGTGTGTGGCTGGTTTTCAAGGTCAAAAAGATCGTTAAAGCACGACAGGAGAAACAGACTAGCATGAATTATTTCTACAGTTTTGGGTTTGCGGGCGGGTCCCAACCTGCTCATATAAAATGTAAGAGGGAGGGAAGTTGACACAGTTGAGTACCAAGCAAGCGACTTAGTGAAACTGGTAATATTGCTTTAGAAGCAAGAGAGACGTCAGAATTTTCGCACGAGATACGGTTGGGCGACAAATTAGTCGGTTAAACAGGGCAACCAGAATACATGAACCAACCGAACTGTACACAGGAACAAAAAGCGCTGTTCCCCTGCGAATGGCACGAATACCTTACTTATGTGAACCTATTCCGCGCCCCTCATTTCGTTCCGGAGGTTTCTCTGGAATGTTGGTGGGTATCGGCTCTGAATTGAACCTTTTTCGTTTTAGAATGCCACAGCATGATGTAGTAGAACAAGATAAGCCTGATGTCCTCTGGCTTGAGACCCCTCTGGTCTGAAATAGGTGTTATGGTGAGTCCTTAATCAAGCTGGCTAGCATGGGAGTGGCAATAGTTTCACATTTGACAGAACGCTGCAGAATTCCACCGCATAGGGCCCTCCATAATATTGAAAAATGCACAACACACACAGGCCTGAAACAGACTGCTGCAAAAAGTTATTATGCGAAAAAGTAATAATATATAAATGGCACAGAACTGTAGTGAGGCCATCTTCACAACAACCGTCCATGAGATCGGTTGAAACCCATCATTTCAGCAGAGACGAAAGCTGTAGAGGGCACTGTAAACTCCGAGGTTATCCGCGAATAAAAGTGTATCTTATAAAATCAAGAAGGATAAGGGAGTAGTTGATGATCATTGTACGGTTTGATGCTGGGGCAATTGAGAAAGTAGCCCGTTGCAATGTCGGTCTATTTACCAGACGTGGCTCGCAAAAGGTTCAGCACTTGTGGAAGAGAGAGGGGAGGACTTCGTCATAACGTGCTTGCATTTAAGTAGTTTTAAGGGACATCTGATAGTCTATGATAGGATAGTTGAAAAGCACTTGCTCGTTGTCTCATTGGTCGATTTGTGATTCGTGTTGCGTTTTGACCTGACTCCCTTGCATTCGATCAGTTTGTTAGATACATCCTCTGAGACAGTTTCGTTGGACTACTTTCGATTGGCGTTGCGCCTTGGTCTACTTTCGTTGCAACTAATCGACTAACCAGATGCTTAATCTTGCCGTTTTTCAGCTTCTGATCTGATTGGTCCGATTTCAATTGCGGTGCAGCTTGATTTTCTTGCGTTCGATTGGCTGGTTGCAACTCTGTATGCTGAATACGTTCCCACTATTTGCACTGTCCGGTCCTTTAATCCACTGATACATTTCTTTCATGGTTGTATAATCCAGCGAAATGTGTTTATTCGTTGGGTACAGGTAGCTCAGTTTCTTCCATAAGTTCCTCAAACAGTTTTCAGCTTGAGGGTAACGGGAGGCTGACAGACTAGATCAGTTTCAGTCTCTTCCATGAAACTCGTTTTCTTTAACTGTTCTTACTAGGGCCAGCTGGACACCCGTCATGACTGATGTTCGATCATACAGACGGGCGACAACTGGTAGCGGTATAACATAAGTTTGGAGTTCACTCGGTTTGCGGCTAGGAAGCTTCGTTCCGGTCTGTCTAATGTGGGGACAACCAACGTATTGATAATGTCTCCCCAATGGACGACCGAGACTCTTCCATCCAGATACGAAACAGATTAACTCTTTGTGACCAAAAACCAATAGCAGGGACAGATTCACCGTTCTTATGGCCACAGAAAGGAACTCATGTACAAAGACAAGAGCAAATTGTCAGTTTTGTAGACTTTGTCACGGATCACCGTGCAGTGGGTGGTACTGAGGAACCGACTCATCTTCTGACACAATGAAGTGAACAAAAGGATGAACGGAACTCGAGAGAATCAACCGAAATGGTTCCTATGGAGAGGTAATTGTTGTGGAGGGGCTCAAACCACAGGCGGAACATGTGACCAGTTGAAAAACAAACCTGATCTGTAACACGCTCTGCACCGCGCCAAAATATCAAATGTGTGTAGGAAAGACGGCGAACAGGACGGGAAACACGTGACGCGTAGGTGCTGAGACTGAGCGACGCAGTTGGCTGTTGCTGTTCGAGCTGCGCAGGTAGTGATCCTAGGCCGGTCCAACCTCCAATCAGCTGACCGGGCGCAACCAGGCGTCGACTAGCCGCACCATCAGAGGAAGGAAATCCCCATCGACGGAGACCGCAATCATTCGACCCGTCGTACGCCTCGTTCAAGGAGACTTCCAGACTTAGATGAGCTCGGGACGGACTCCACGAGGCTTTGAAACGGAATCGTGGATGACATGTGCGTAGATGCACCAGCAAAGCCTCGGGGCCTGTAAGATGATGAAGCACGAAAGGGATGGGGGCACAATACAGAAATGTGATATGCAAAGATCAAAACCACTGGTTTCAGGATGACTCCGGAACGTAACAAGAAGACCACGATTGATTGAAGGTAGGGGATCTTATAATGCCTAGACTAGAGAGCAAAGAACCCACACAATTCAGAGATACGGCCATTATCCTCTAGGGATAACCCCTAAGGGGAGAAATCCTTACAGGCAAAATTGACTTTCCCAAGTCTTAATTTCTTCTATCATTGAACCCCCTTCAGATCGCGTCAAGCGGACACAAAGCTAACACACAGGTCATTTGAAAGAGAGTTCAATTCGTCAGTTGCGTACAATTTGGTGTGACTACACCATAATGAGGATCTCCAGAGAGTGAAACCAAGCAACCTTGTCAGTAGTGTGGGAGAAAGGTGATTTAACCAAGCATCAACTTATGCAAACAGCGTTTGTAGTGGGCTGTTCGATCATCTCAACATGTCCAGGGCACCCCGAGTAGCCAAAACAAACTTGTCCGTGTCACCAGATGAATTCAGAAGCATGCGGTTGAGTTTGAACGGCAGCGAATTCCAGGTGAAGAGGTGCGCATCTGGTATAACTTCGTCAAAACTAAGTTGCGCTGCTGAGATCCTCACTATACGCTGGGATGAAACCAATATAAGTAAAGCTTCAAGCTCATTTCGGTGGCGCAGAACAATTTAGCGTAGTATGTACGTGAGAAAAAACCTGTCTGGGTTGGTTCGACCACATGGTGAATGAGATACGCCATGCAAATGGCATGAGAGACTGACTGGTGAAAGACCATACTGTAAGGCCCACCATGGACAAATTTCCAGGAACGTGACGAAGCGAACTGACCAGAGATCTCAGAGAAAGAGGTGACCCATAAAAAATCGAAATAAAGAACCGGTCGACAGAAAACGGTAGAATGACTGCATGAAGCAGCAACCAATCTAGGGGCGAAAATGATCCAGGAGTCCCTTATTGTCACGAAAAACGACTGCTATTTTTTAAAAAAATACACTTAACAGGAAGAGCGAATGTTAGCAAAGGATTACCCTACAGTATTCATTTACTCGAAAACAACGGGCGGATCATATCCACATAAAAAATAGCCCGAGCGAGATACAAAGTTAACGTGGGAGTTAAAGATACGGTTGATCATTCGGAAACAAACACGATAAGATTTTTAGACAGAAGTGTTATCACTTTGTTTCTCCAGAACGAGATGAGGGGATTTTTCAAAGTTTCTTGATCACTTCCACTCAACGTGCAATAATGTGTTTTTCCTAAGTGGCAACTATGTTGTCGTTGGTAGCCGAGTTATGGCACCTGAGAAATCTTTCACTTTCCGATCAAAATAGTTTCTGAGCATGAGACTAATAGGGCAATTTACCGCGACCTGTGATTACTTTTGGTGTATACTGCTTCGAAAGCCTTTACAGGGCATCATATATTGATTGCGCAGCAAGGCGATCGACTGATAGAATAAAAGAACATTGTTCAGTTTGGTCGGCCTGTTGAAAAGAACCACGTCTGTTATGCTGTTCTCATCATAATTTAGCTCAAACCAAAACTTTTCAGGTAATGTATCGATTACCGTAGATGATTTAGGATTTTCGCGAACCCCACTGTTCGCTATTGTAAAGCGGTATAAACTTGGTTGGGTGTACCTGACCACAGTGCGTAAAAACAATCCCCACAGGTAATAAGAGTAATGGTCGACAGGAAACAGATGTTTAACTTGTACATGATGAATGTCACGCAACTTACTGATGAAAATTAAGCTTTTATTTTCTCTATTTTTAAATGGCTTTCCTTTCTTAGCTACTGCGTTCGTTTTTATGGTGTTTTGAATTGTTTGAGCACGCAGCAGTCAATTGCTATCATGTTGTCCTGATGACGTCTCCAGGTGCATTTGAGAACGTTACCGATGGTGCTCCCATTGCTCTGTGCGGTGCAATATTCCGCTGTGTTCTCACACGCTGATACGTGAATCCAGAAAAACCGATAAAGGTTCTTCTAATATTGCCTGAAGCTATCCTACATAAGTCTTTTCAAAGTGAAGTGTGTGGTGCTGCATCGATTTTCTGTCAGAGGACACATACACACCTTACACCAGTGCGTCATCTAACCGCTCTAACTGTACTGTTTACGTCATCCAACGTTTTCCGATGCCCCTGCACGCAAGTTTCAAGTCACGTACGTTTGGGATGAACGTACCTATCAGTGAAGCGTGATCCGTCATCCGGGCAACTGCCTTAAAGCTGATGTAGTTCGATGACTTTTCGAGAGTAGTCCAGGTACCGATTACGTGTTCTGCGCCATCAGTACAATCCAAGGATCAGGAGCCACCTCACTTTGCACGAGCTGACCAGTTCTCCCATTGCAAGCGGATTAGTCAGCTCGGAACTTTGACATGGAGTCTCGTAAGACCTTCAGATACGCAGTATTTACCTATTTCAAGACATTCGTCCGGTAAATCTCACTCGTTTGAATACGGTTCTTAAAGAAAAGCTGCACCTACCTGACACATTAAATTCGAAGTCATCTAGTTCCATTATGCTTCAGGACTGGGACAACAGCTGCCATCAAACACCCTAAAGCTCCTGTATGCAAGCAGTCAGGATGAATTATCAGGCGTCGGCATCTCAACGATCAAGAAAATGCCTTCGAAACTTGTATCCAAACGAGTAAACTGCCCATTTATCCGCTGTATCGTTTAACGGCATTGTCGCGGTTATGCATGCATTGGAAGGAAAGTTTTGTGAACCAACAGTCTGACTTTTCTCGTCAGCCATTGAGTGTGCAATGGATACAACGCATTGGGGACTTGTTCGCTGAACCTAACAAAAGCGTTATGATCGTTCGCCCACCAAAGCGCTTTTTGCTTACTTTCACTTAGTTCTTGATCACAATTGGCTACTCAAGTGAGCCGTTCGGTGGATTCCGCAACAGGCTCATGCTTTGATTGGTTCGTACCCGGATAACCGTTGAACTTGACTCACTTTCCATGCTTGATTCAAAATTGAACACAAAACTCGGTAACGTCGAGTCGTTGGTCCCTCAGTCCACACGGACTGGTGGCACGATCCTGGGGTATATGCTTCGAATAATTCTTTTGGTTTCATCGTATTCCCACGATATTCGTGGAATCCAGATTGGGATATGCTTGATGGCAGCTATGTGTTCCTTCATGCATACCGATACTTTCCCTTCAGGTTCTCGAACACAGTACTTGTTGTGACCAGGACAGCTGAACTGCTAAGGTTCCCTGTATTCTTTTCATCGCCACTACGTTTGGTTTCATTACCCCTGCGCCCAATATTCAGGCTACTAGAATCCCATTCGGGAGGTTCTTGATGTTTCGAAGGACGATCCGGTCAAGCTGTTAATTCTACTGGTAGACTTTTCATCGACCACTTGGGAGACATATTATTTTGTGCGATTTGTGTCCTCCATTCTTAGTTTTGTTGCGCTGCGGAGTGTGATTATCTTCCAACATCGAGTAGATAAGATGAAGTGGGAAATGGCAACGTCTAACCGGGAATTACGAACGTAGAAACCACAGAGGTGCTGTTCGGAAAATCTGCGTCACTGCTAATTTTCAGCTCCAGCGGACTAAGTTGGCGAGCGTTAGTTGGCTATATCGTGTCCGCAATGATGCGTAAGCAAGTGGTCTGGTAATGAATCCGATTCACTAGAACAACAGACAAAGGTCAGGATCATCGGGACATACACTATATGTACAGAACCACCGTCTGCCAATGAAAGCGCTGTTTTCTACTCCCAGTAGGCTATGATATGGCGGAACGAAATGAAGACTACCGTGGGACCTTCGCACCCTACTGGGTAGGGTTCGCATGATTTTTCTGCGCATAGTTGAACGCGACAGTTAACGGCCCAAGTATACTGCAGCTTTCGAGTGCAAGTACCCAGCTGAGGTCTTTCTGGCGTTGTGTGCTGTGTGAGGTACGTTGGGTTAATCTCAATGATGGCATCTTACTCCGATATTATTTCCATGTGCGTTTACCTGGCTGATGTCCCAAGAAATAGGTGTTTTGTTGTTCATCGTTTCCCACAAAGACATAACGCCATTTATGCTATTTCCCCGCCTTTTACTAAGGTATATCTTCGCATGGTTGTGCGGCTGCTAAGCTCCAGATTCACATCCGGTGTATGGGTGTCGGTAATGATGATGCCTGGCCGCTTGCCACAGCTTCGCCAACACAGTGACACGTCTGCGATTGGTGAGAAACTTCGGACGAAGACCACGTGACCTCACTGCTCTGTCACAATTGATTCATTACGGTGAACGAAACCAACACAGCAAACTCAGTCAATACGGCGTGGAGGATGACTACATAAATGAGCCATACACTGGCGGGAATTGCTGCAGATTTTTCAGTAGCCATGGTATTTTGTCACTGTACGGGTAAGCAACCGCTTTTCACGATAGGACTAAGACCAATAACTAGACTAGCATGTGCGGACGTTCTCTACAGACGCACAGAAAAATCCAGACAAGACACAGCAGTGATGGTCAGCCGGTTGACCCAGTTTTTAGACGTCACTTGCCCGGCCGGCTGACACGCCGGGACAGACGAAGGGCGTGAACTGGATGAACGACGAATGACCACCAGCCTGCCGTTTCAAATCTGGGTCACATTGAATCAATTGAAATCAAAGACAGAGGCCAGCTGTGAGAAAGATTTGGAAAAACTCTGAAAAAACCGGGGTGGAACAGTCATTTCGAACTAGGTACGCTGTTCCTGAGGTGATAAACGTGTCTGTGATGCGCCCAACATTGGACAGAAAATCACAAATCGCGGTGGGCCGAATCGAATTAATCCTGGGTTAGCAGGTGACAAATCCCACAGGAAATCGAACCCGGAATTTACAAGAATATAACATGCATCAACTAGTGTGGAAGCACCAAAAAGGTGGAAAATAGGTACAACAAAACCGTTCGGACAGTCCATAGTACCCTCTAGTCCAGATAAGATTCAATAATGGTTTTCGGTGTCTGTCTCAACAGCGTCGTAAATCACCTCGACATGATTTTGATGTGTTTTTCGAACCGATGCTTCTCCATTTCTGCTTCAAGAAAGCTACTAACTAATTTTGGGCCCATAGACATTTGAGGGCTAACCAACCCAACGCGAGACGAACAGAAGCCAGCTACGAATGATGTGAAGCGTGAGACTCCGCATTGTCCCCTTTTAATATCTAGCCATGATAAGGGTTGGTAGCAATAAACATGCTCCAATGGCCGAGTGTACACATCATTCAGAATGACTCACCAGTGCAGATAAGTTGCCCATCTCTTAACCTGAAAGCGCACCCAATTCAAGCGCGAATGAATCGGATTTAACAAACCGGTGATCACTATCAGCGTGGGGATTAGACACGTTCGAAAGAGCACAAAGTGTTAATTACGTGGCGTACTTATTTGTTTCCCTATTCCTCAGGCTAATTCATTACCCTTCCGGTGACTGCTCAAGTTTCAAGAGTGAACGGTTCTATTTTATACAAAGTTGACTCTACATTAACCGGTTTTCTACAGACGATTTGTTCACACTCATTTCTGGGCTTGTTGTTGAAAATTTGCCCCACTTTGAACTGAACAACATTTTTGCCGTTTAATTTGTCCGATAGCACACTGCCCTTTCTGTGCCATCCTGTGTTGCTAACTACCCAAGGTTCAGTCTAGCCGTAAGCTTTTCTTTAATTCTCCTCACGATTAACTGTTAATTTCTTATAGACACTAGGCCTACCTATCTACACTGTCTGCCAACGTCGAATTCCATATATTGTTCACTGCCCAATTGCGACTACTGAACAAACGCAGGTGAAGTTCGTAGAATTCGGTTTCGCCGCAATTACTACTGACCGTCCGTTGGTGAATTAGACTACACGTTACCTGTTAGATAGGACACCTAGATCGTGCATTTAGGCTAAGTAACCAATTCCTTACTTTGAGATCACGGCTTTAGCACAAGATAGTACACAAGGCTTCGAGAATTCTAAGCACACACAGTGTCTTTTAAATAGAATCCGGAGTTGGCGACGGAGATAAATCACGTTAGCGCTTAGAAGAACATCCATATCGATGGATCAAACATGGGAGTGTTACAAGCAATACATCTATGCAGAAGAAAGCAATTTCAATCAGATAGCGTTGGTTAGGAGTACCATCTTATCTTACCCTGCAAAGAGAGAGGGTAGACAGAATAGGATATTTGAATCGCATTTCACGCGTTTCACATTAACCAGTATTTTTGCTCCACCCAAGGACAGTACTGCAACAGCCAAATGAAGTTTTGATCGCCGATCCATTAATATCCCACGGAGTATGCTAACAGGGCGAGTGTACCAAAGTGAAAACTTTTATCGTTCCTAAATTGAGATAGTGGCTGCCCTGAAACAAGAATGGGCCTTATTCAAGTTGCCCAGGCCTCGACAGGAGCAGCCGAGATTCGGAGGTTAGGTTCGAAACGCTGGCCTTTCGATCTGTGAGTTTGCGCTTTAATCACTGAGTGATCTAAAGCTCAGTATGAGTATCATGCTCTCATATCTCATAGTGGTATTGCATTCTGTTTGCCAAACACTAGGCTACAGTAGGTCGTCACCCATAGGTACCTCCGAAGAAGAACAACTCCAAGTTTGGGACATGTTCAGAAAGTCCCACCCCCAAGAAGAAGCACCGTTCTAACGCAGCCAAGGGATAGCAAATCACGTCTGTCAAACCAATTCACCCAAACTGGTTGCTTTAACCGGAAGTAGGGAGCAGACGACCAAAGGTACGACTTGCATTTCTTTCAACTAATGTTCAGTTGCAGAGCAGAAACACAAAAACAACACCAACTGGAACAATCGGAAAAATCAGCGTGATTTATCTAAAGAAGCGATGCGTGTTTGTGTTTGAGGGACACACACACCTGTGTAAGATTTATTCAAAAGTGCGATTCTGCGCTCTGGTGAGCCAGAGATTCATGCGTTTTAAAAACACGAAGGACCTTGAAGTATCTACTGGACACTTCCAACGCCCAAATCCAAAATAAGAGACCTCTTCATATCCTAGAACCCGGTGGGATGCGAACTTTCACTTCTCTTTATATGACAAATACTCTTGTAAATAATTGTTGTTCCTGTAGATCTTTTATTCTCTTGGGAATGTACCTCGCTTCGATGTCTCCGAAAGTAAAAATATTTCCATCCGAGTACCACCCCCCCCCTACAGACTCAAATGAACGATCATTCTGTTGAAATCGAAGGTTGAGCACATCAGTGAGTCGTTGACAATGCTGCGCTATGCTCTTCAAATATCATCGTGAGCATCACAATGTAGACAACAGATTCAGGCCATTGTGGACTGGATTAAACAAGTAAACGCATAACATGAGTCCTGTAATTATTCTATTGGAAACGACTGCAATTTAGATGAAGAAATACTTTGTATAACGAATGTTTGGAATTAGAATATCCCAGGTTGAAGTACGGCAAGGAAAAGCAAGAAAGACGACATCTCGTAAACAGGAGTGAATACTAACAAAATGGAGACGTATGAAAAAGAAAAATTAAAGGAAGCCTTCATTATGGCACAAAACGGGATCATCAAATGATAAGGGAGCAAGAGCGCAAAGTTTCTCAGAACTGGCAAAACAATGGTCAAATTCATTCAAGTCAGTAACTGATTGGATGTCGGGTAGCTGATGAGTATGGCGAGCCCAGAAATGGAACAAAAAATCGCTCCAGTCAACGGAAACGCAGCTTATTAAACCGAAACCAATGATTTATATTCGATTAGAAACAGCTTTATTCGCCGCACTCACTCGTGACTGGTCGACGAGATAGTAAGCTCTGGTATCGGCCGATCTTTGTTGACTTGAGGTTGTCTTAAACTGCAGTATTGACTGAAACAACGGAGCGCTGCGAACAGAATAATCGAAGTCTGACTTTATACGCAATACAAAGCTCTGCTGATTGGCTAGAGAGCGGTTTCGCAAATGCGTATCACTACTGGCCGATAATGCCACCAACTTGTAGGGTTCGGTGTTGTCTGTGAGCCGACAGCGACATCAGTAATGCAGAAGGTACCAACCAGCATGAAAGTTCTGACAACGATGGTTCGGCTCATGTTGACTACATAACTTATAAACAACGCATCCTAGTGTTCACGGACTGCTCGAATGACCAGCCCCAGGAAAACTACCGCCATGGGAGTGGCGAGAAATTATCGGATGAAGTTAGGCAAAGGAAAAGCACGTTTGTCAGTTCAGACGGCTTTTTGGAGCGTAACTGAAATGTAACCCGAGAGACGCATGAGAGCTGCGAACGTTCTAGGTTGGCTTCTCGATCAGGAAACCGTATCTTGTCTCGCTCCCGAGTGATCTCGAGTCCCAATGTAGAATGGAAACTCCAAAGGATCACCCTGGAGTACTGTAGCACGTGATCGATTCCATTACCAACCATCGGACAACGGACAATGGTCCTTGTAATTGGTGTAGAGCCTCGTTAGGATGCGAGACTATAATGACTGACAACAATTTATCTGTGAAGCGATTCATAATCCATTGAATATGGTGTTCAGCGTTCCAGGACTTTAGATCAGCTCAGGTTTAACTGTCACTTGCCCTATTCACTTTTACTGTGAAGTTCCGAAAATAACTTGGTGAAAGGAATAAATTCAAACAATTCGAGATTTATCCACAGGTGAGACGGGGGAAGCTGGGAGAACTCATTAGGCGAGCGGCGAAGTGCTGATTGAGAAATCCCTGGTTTGAATCAATGTATGATTTTTTATCCTCTATCTAGACTCGGAAAAAACGATGATAGTTCGGTCCTCGGGTTGTTGTATACCGAAAGATTTGATAATATGCTGGACTTGGTCGGGAAACTGCGTTCAGAGCTGATTACTTTGGGAGGTCAACTTATTCGAGTCATCAGGAACTGCATTCTAGAGAGGAGCTGTTTGTAACTGAGAAGTCGCAGTTGAACTCACGTCGTTCTCACTCGAAAAATCTTCCGTCTGTCCTGGTTTTCAATCATTCCGGTAAGTCCTTACGGAACCGAACCACCGCCAAGTAGGCTACATTGAGGGTCAAACTCGAATCGGGTGCTCTCCACCGAAAGGTGTTGACTAAAGGGAATAATTATTGTAGGGAATGTTCAACCAAGACTTTTTAGAAACGGATGGAATTTTTCCAACGAAATCACGTTCGCAGTGACACTAATTACTAATGACTTGGTTAATTACTCGGCAAGGATACAGAAAGAAGTTTAGCCACGCAATGACGAAGCACATATGGACAACTTCAATGAAGAATGGTATATTGTGAGTAATCTAAGCACAGTGGAAGGAAAAGTAAAGTACGCACCTCTCTCACGCGCTCGCCAACAATCGAGTCGACACCACGGACAGACGAGGTCTTTGGCCTCAGACCACTGCTGCAGTCGATTCATGTACAAGAACCGATATGTGACCGGACGGAGAGGTAAAGTGGCGGGTGTTGGAAGATGAGGTCGAGTGGACGCTAGTCGTCGGGTGCGAGCAGGTGATTGTGACAGCGGCGGCGGCGGCGGCAGCAGCCTGGACTGTGATCGCGGCTCCATAGGTGCTTCCTGAGTGACGGGTGTTTTGTTAGAGAACTTCGGCGCCTGGGGTGAGTTGTGACCTAGCCCGTTCTCGACAATCCCACGAGTAGAGGCAACTGTGCTGTTTTTTCGTAGGGGACTCACAGGTGTGCCACCTAAGCAAAACGAAAGGGAGTTGTCGTGTGATAGTGAGTGGTGTTCATCACATAATGATAAAATACAAAGCTAGTAATTTTTTAAAAAAAGACAAGCTACTATGCTATATCAGTGGGTTATTAGTTCACATAAAGAGACAGAACACAGAAAAACAACATTTCCAACCTGATGATCTGAAAGGAGCACTGAGGTTTCTGTCCGGAGAGAAGCAAGACAATTCTGCAACAAAGTGGGACCTTTTCTGAACAGAGATAAATCAACCACTTCCGGATCGCAGCGGCTGACGGTCATTATCCGTCATTCAGGTACTCAGCTATGAAGTGTGTATCAGGATGGTTTCAGGTGGTTCCAGGTGCTACAGTTTCGTCAACCGATGATAAGGAAAATAAGAAAATGACAGCTGCTGATTCAATCAGTCTGTGTATGTCAACTTTGTTTGGTAAACCGCATTGCAGGATCACCCAGACCTGTGTGACAAGACCATCTCCATTTGGGCCACTAATCCACAGTGTGACTCTTCTCCGGGGTTCCCATTTGAGGAGACGGCAGTTGCCAACGAAACCAAGTTGACTAAAAAAAAATCGTTCAGCTGTAGCACCCTTTCGGTGACTAACTGCCATGACGCCCAAAGGAAGCACGAGGTCTGGGATACTGCCAGGTTGCCCAAGCCTAGACAGGGGAAGTCGAGTGGCAGAGGTAGGGTTCGAATCACGGACCTTCCGGTCTGTAAATTCGCGCTCTAACCACTTGGGCCATCTCGCCCCAAGTTGACTGGGGGCGATGCCTTACAATGCCAGGTCATTGTAAGGCGGTCTCTGGGTAGTATCCATTTAACACTCGAACAAGTTTGCAAGGCAAATGGTCCTCTGGTATACGAATTGCATGGCTTACCAGTGTAGCCCACCCCCAAATCCAACTCTGTGGATAATAACTGTGTCACACCAGAATGTGTCACCAGATAGTATGTGAAAGACTTGGAAAAGTGCATCACCCTTACCACTGAAACGCCTGACATTTAGAAAACCTTCGTTCTACAGAAGTCTTCCTCATTACTCACTGATGAGAGCCAACAAACGTCCTTTCAGACAACTAGACAGTGCACGGAGCAATGCGGTCTCTTTCATTGGATCAAAGAGCAGGGGTTACCTCATTTTGGTATTCCGTTACGTCACTGGAGGTTCATCGGCAAGCATGCGAGTTAACGGTGGGTTGGATAGCTTTCTGGTCAAGAAAAAGGCATATTTGGTGGAACCGGCAACTAGTTTATAGACAAGAGCGATCTCCGTGATCGGCATGAGTAAACTAGATTTACGGGTCACCACAGTGACACTGACTGGACCAGGGTTACAGTAAACCACCAAAATGAACGATAGTGTTTACCCAATTCATTCAGTCAACCGAGCAGTGTCAAGTTTAACTATGGATCGGTCTTAGGGACGGGTTACACGCTTTGTTCATGTGCACGAAGCAGAAGCTTGCTGAATTTTGACTCGCGGCAGTTGACTCCCACGATAGGGCAAGTCACGAACGAGTATGGGGCATCGTAGACAAGTGATACAAGTGACATTTCCATGACCACTTGACAATGGCGAGATGGCTCAAGTGGTTAGAGCGCGAATTTACTGACCGTTCGTGGTTCGAACCCGACCTCTGCCTCTCAACTTCCCCTGTCTAGGCTTGGGCGACCTGGCAGTATCCCAGCCCTCGTGCCCCCTTCGTGTGGCATGGCAGCTAGGCGCCGAAAGGGTGCTACAGCTGAACGAATGGCAAGATCCTAAAGTTGCCAACGACTGGCTGAGGTTCGGTGTTCAATTAAATGGCATGTAGTGTTGCCCTGGGTCCACATGCAGCCTCACCATCGTCCGGGTCATTTTAATTTCTGGAGGATGTTAGTTTTCTGGTGTTGTCTTCGAATGGTATGAAACGACTCCATCAGCTTAGGTGTCTCGGTACCCAGTCCTGATTTAGCCCGCATGTCGGAGCAACGTAACAGGATCTGGCCACTACCGCAAGAAAGCACCTAGAGTAAGGACAAGTACGGGCAAGGAACAGACGGGTGATTCTGTCGGGGCACTACTATGCTAATCGACAGAGGGGTCCCCTCACTATACATCCTGCACAAGAAACAAGGTAGACCCTACTTTAGGTTGAATAACGTGGAGAGTGATAAATGAAATACGCATCTCATATACTCTTTAAATTCTACAAGAAAACGGTCATTGTTCGACGAACAACTCACTTCGGAGTGGTGAGTTTCGCACTCCTCCCCAACCATTGACATATTGCTCGCATTTCTTTTGATCTGCTAGCTTGACGGGTGAGTCTATGTTATCGGATGCCTTGCCAATCCAAACAACGCGAAATTTCAGCTTCGGCCAGCGGGAATACTCATCCAAAACATCCGAACATTTGGGAAACCGAATTCGACGCCACTCGACTCTCCCGGAGACAGCTCCAGCTTCGTTCAAACTGGCAACCTCATCGACTGAACTTACAGTCCCAGCGGGGAAATCCGAGGTACTGGTGGCAACGCTGTCGGCTGTGCTTCCTGTCTCGTGTTGCAAGTGGTGTCCGTTTTCCAGAACATTTTGTCGCAAAGATGGGTCCCCCGATAAAAATGGTTTATCCGATGACTCGTGGTCTCCGTGATCCACGCCCAAACGTAGTTCGTACAAACCGGGAGTCAGAAGGAACGGGGGAGATTCGCCAACAGGAGCTTCAGTCGCGCAGGGGAAAAACGGATAGGTCAGAATGTTGCTGTCAAAAGCAAACTGGTATGGCAACGCAAGTATACATACTGATTGGGGCACATCACGTAGAGCTGAATAACTCAAACGAACCAGATACCGATTCACAGCAAGATGAGGGGGCGCATTGCTGATACTGGCTTCAAGTTGAAAAGAAGATTAACGGGTCTCATTTTGGAGAGCTTCATACAAAGAAAACGAAATAAACCATTTCATCGTGCTCCTATTGTGAAGAGAGTTGTGGTTGACGATTTGAAAAGTCAACGGGTCAAGATCCTCGGGGGGAAATATGTTTTAAAAGGCGGCACTAACGTAACAGTATGTCCGCCATACTGCTAAAGCACTGCCGAGTTGAGGAAGGCACCTCAAAAGTGATGCACGACGAACTGGAATGTTCACCGACAGTGAATCAGTCGATCAATACGGACTATTCACAAGGAGTTGGTCAGTGGTTTTTACAGCGTTTTGATGAACTCAATGGGAGTGCAATAATTCACAGAGAGAGGAATCGCTCCGTACGATACACGCTGGAACGTGCTCATCGCAGTGAAAATAATCCACACAGCGAAAGCAGTACCAGCAAGAGTCGGCGCGATTAGGAATTTAATTTAAACAGCTCTAATCACACGATGAACGGCACTGTCAGCGTACCCTCCAACCGTGAAGCCGACTTATTCTCCCAGAGGAAATTGTTACAATAAACAATACAAGAACTTGCCAAGACAAGATGAACGGATTCCGTGCGCTTCTCATGCTCTGGTGCGTCGAGCACCAGTTTGCAGACGACTTATTACAAAAACACCAATAACCAAAGCAAACAGGCTGTTCAAGCTTGGGAATGCCTCTGAAAATGGGTCGAATGTTCGCACGCAGATGGGAACCCATACGGGACTAGTTGTAACCCTGCTACACCAGACAAGACGACCCGTGGGACATCCCAAATCAAGTTCATCTTCGTGCCGTCTAGCCGCAGTTTGTTGTGCAGGTTCATGTCGCAGCTAGATATAGTGTAGGCATGCGCGGTTTCTAGCACAACAGTAATACTGCCCAATCTTCCACACAACTGTGCGGAGTAAGACGCCTAGAAGCTCGAGCTGAGTTTATGAACTTTGACGCTCTTGTCCAATATCTACCGGTATGAATGTTGGCATTCCAAGTCTTCAGCCCACAAGTCTTCGCTTGTCCACATGTAGGAATTTACGTCTGATGTCAACTCGCACTACTGATTGCAGTCAGTCAGGCTACTTGTACGGAGGCCAGCCGTCCCTAATAACCGCACACCACATCATTTGGACGGATGTGTCACATGCAGGACACGGTCCAAACGTAGGCATGCCGTGATTGGTCAGAATGCCAGCCAATCCGAGTCGAGCACCTGTGACTCGACGCTTCTTGCCCCGTCACGGAGATTCTGGCACGACCTTGGGGAAAACCCTGTGACTATCATATAAATACAGTTGTAATAATTTTCCTTTGTCTCCATAAAGAGTTGTGTAGAGCTACCGTGCCTTTTGATATACCATAGTGGGTGGAGCAGGAAGCCAAGGGACCGATACGGAGTTGCACTACCGTTCACTAGGTTACAACACTACTGTTGGTCACAATGCACTCTGGTCCATACAAATTAGATGTGTTATTCCGACAGAAGAGCAATAAGGCGGCACGACAAGAAACCACACACAATTGGAACGATTGAAACATGAGATGTAACGCTTTAGTATGCCGCAGGTTTCTTACGAGCTGTTTGGCTTAGAAAGATCAGGAAGCGAATAAATACAATATACAACCGAATATCCATTAAAATCCCTGTGGTAGCGTTCAGGGGCATACATGTTGAACAAGCAGCGTGGAGAGTCCAATCAAGCAACGGCAACACTGGGAACAATTGTGTTCTGTAGGGATACACTATACTCAACAAGGGTTCTACGGTGACAGTCAGATGCGACACTATGCTAGTAGGTGTTGCTAGGTTGTTTGTTAACGAGATCTAAGTGTGAAGAGGAACACACATTCAACTCAACAAACTGCCGAAAAAGATTACGCTCATTGTGAACCACTGAAGGGCTTTTCGAATCTGAGTAGTCAGCTCTGGCAGATGTCCATTCGCAGTGAGAAGTTGCATAATCCACAAAATCACGTTCCTGACCTCTCAGTTTGCATAACCTGCCCACATTGTCGCCGCAAACTCGCTACGATGAACGATAGCAACCTGCACAACAGTAACTGGGCTGCCCGCATTAGTAGCAAGCTCCCGTAACAGCATAAACTGCTGTGTAATTGTACGGTTGCCACGCACAAACACTACACAATAATCGATATAATCGTGCAAAGAAAGGTCACACTAAACAATGAGTGTATACGATCGTTTGTATCACAGCGAAAACATCGCATTATGCTTGTTAGGATAATTGAGTATAGCCAAGAACAAGGGTAGCATGCGAGTGATTTGCTTGAACAGAGCTTTTTAACCTAACTCACAGGGTGCACTTAGTTGACCACCTCACTGAAAGTCAGCCCAACCACCTCGGAATTTCGCCAACCAAACAAAGCATCTCAAATAATGATAGGGCTCATAACGAACTATTGGACATAGACAGCATTAGTTTGTGTTTTATGGAGACGAAATAGAGGAAAAACTTAGCAGAAATACGACTGACTCACTCATCTGTTTCGAATGAGAGGTTAGTTACCAAGACCTACCAGTTACCAGATTACTCCCTGGTTAGTTTCGAGGAGTTTTTGAGTATCCCCTTAAATTCGTCCTCTACCGCCTTAGTCGGTGAGTAACTTAAAGCAAATCCAACTGACCAAAGCAGCTGGACACAAAGAGAAGCAACACATAGACGGTCTCAGCGGCTACGAAATAAAGTCTGCATATCAATAACGAACAATTTCCTCTACCGTTTGTAAACCAGTGGCATTATTTTGTTTACCGGAAACAAAGGATGGGACTAAGTTTCCCCCGGAAACAAATCAACCACTGGTGGAATTAGACGGACTTTGGTTAAACTCAACGAGGACACTACGTCTGTTGGATAAGAGAATCAAAACTAAATTAATAAGTAGCGGAGACTCGATCAGGGCCAGTATACTATCTGACCAACTTTAGCTATACGATAAACGGGACAGACAACTCGTTGAACTACACACCAGCATTTCGGGCCAGGTGTAAATGCGTGACATTAGATGACCCTCTTTTTACAGTGTCAGTCGTTTGCCTTCTTTCCTTATCACTTGATTGTCAGGTATGGTCCGCGTCAAGGATTCGTTTCGGCCGGTTGACACCTTGAAGCCTCGGTGTGTGCAAGTTTCAGACGAATGTGGCGGGAACCCAGAGAAGGCTAACCCTACGCGCACACAAAGTGGAGTCAGCGAGTTTCGCAACATGTCTACCGGTTAATATTGTCAAATTTTACCAATTGGGGCGAAACAGCGTAAAACATCCTCAGTAGTGCCACACACACAAAAATCAGTCACTAAAACCATATAAAAATAGGAGGGATGTCAAATATATCGGATATCAAATGATCTCTACCGATAATCAATGTCTCAACAGCTGATATCTTCAGGAATTTCATTCCCCTAAGCCTATGAAATTCCTTCCTAGTAGAGAAGCTCATCACCGTTGAGAGCTTAACCAATAATATGCAACGATTTGCTGGAACAACCCAACCTGTTTCAGCTGACAATGACCAGTGTCTTAGCCAGTTTTCCCCAAGGAGCTACAAGGCAGGAACGGTGATCAGTACATTCCTTCACGCAAGCTTTCGAAGGGCTTAGGGAATAGCTCTACGAAAAGCGGTTCATTAATGAGGGCTAGCATCGAAACGTAGACTGGAACAACTTTCGGTGCGAGCGCGACAAATACACCGTTCTGTAGCGATTCCACCGGTCGATCATAGCCCCGGCATCCTTGTTCTGTTTGGCCACGCCACTCTGATTCGCACACGATACGGACTCTGAATCTTTTCAAGAGGCGGTGTGGACGGAATGCAACAACTTAGCCAATTCATCACTAAGACGGCGTTGTTGAATTGACATTTGGGCCTCGGCCGGACTTAGAATGAGGGTCATCAAAAACGACACATTCGACACAGCAGCACCGTTTTCCATGTCAGAGGAGTCGACAGTCGTCGTGGAGATTGAATCTCATACTTCGTTGCAAAGGTGTGCCCTAACCGCCCCTAGGCTCGTTTTTACCCTGCGCGAGGATAAGGATGCAGACGATATTCCAGACATACCCACTTCGTCTACGGAGGATTTGTATGACCATCCTCGTAGTCGGGTGTTAAAATTTATGGGCATAATTGTCTTTGTACAGGCTGAAGGAGTAAATCTTCCGTCTGCATGGTAATCCACCAACAACACTTGGAGGAAGCACGCTGAGAGGAGAAAAGCTATGAATATAATCGAACATAGAATATCCTCCAACAGGTTTGATCTGGCATTATTTACGGTGGTACAGTAACCTCGTTCTTTGTCAGTAAACTCAATAGATGAGGGTGACTTTGTTGTCTGTGGAAGAATCTTAATATCCGGAAATCCCGTAGCCGCACGTCGGTTTGAATTGTTCAAGATCGTCACTTGACAAACGAGCATTCAAATTTGCACACAAAATTACTCTGGATGAACGTCGTGCGTGTCGACTGCTTGGCTTGTACACATCAAAGAACCCCTGGTTAGGCTAGAAACATAGCTGCGGTATGGGATATAAACCATATCTAAGTCGTTTTAGCTGCGGCGGTTTTACACAGCGATGATGGAAATGAAGTTACAGTCACGCAGTGGAGACAAGGGCTGGCACTCTAGGATGGTGAGTTGAGTACTCATCGCATAGTGATGTAGGGGGCGAGATGGCCGAAGTGGTTAGAATGCGAATCTACTGACCAGAAGGTCGGTGATTCGAACCCGACCTCTGCCTCTCGCCTTCCCCTATCTAGGCTTGGGCAACCTGGCAGTATCCCAGCCCTCGTGCTTCCTTCGGGTGGTATGACAGCTAGGTACGGGAAGGGTGCTACAGCTGAACGCTTTCTTCCCTACGCATAGCGATGTTACCCCACCACAGGTTTAGTTTTCTTGACGAAAATGTCTACACACCAGAAGCAATGGCCGGGTGCAGAAAAGCTACCTGGCGCGCGATTGGGCCGTGTTATTCCACGGTCCAAACTATTTGACTACTTTGCCCCGGAGTTCCTGTTCCGGGACGGCAGCTAGCAAAACGACTAAGTTTGGCGCTTTTCTGTTTTGCTGACAAGCCATGAGCCTAACTACCCCAGTTCGCTTGCACTTGGTGCTCTTCCAGGAAGTAAGTAGGAGGACGTCCGACGCAAGTTATCAAGTGAGTACAACCTGTCGAGCGCCATCGGTCCATTTTTCAGCTGTTCTCATGAACCCCCAAAACACCTTAGACATAGTTCAGTATAAAAGAGCGGGTACCAAACGCCGAAAGCCCTTGAAAATCTACTCGCAGCAGCTATTTCTAGTATTCCAAAGGTGCACTATAGTTCCATAAACACTAGCTTTGACAAACAGGTTGACGAAAAATCAAAGCATACAAAACCACACTCCGGTCTGTGCAATCCGACGAAGAGGTTCGCATTTGATCATGCCCCGGGGGAAGAAATTTGGTATCACATGAAAGTATTGGGTTCGGGTTCGGCCCAAACCTGCTTTGTGGTAACTCGCTTTTCACCTTGCAAGCAGATTGTCTATCATATTGTACAGCTGTATTGTTTAACGTTACTTTCAACTCTGTGAGACTCGATCCAAGGAGAGCATTATGTTCGGCATACTAAATTTAAACAAGTAAACCAGAGAAAAATGAGTATTCAAATGAATCCTCCACTAGAGTCTGTGGTAGAGTTAGCCGTCAAGGTTATCACTACGGGGCGTTCAAAGCCAACAACAATTGAAAAACTAACAGTCACACTCGCACGTAAAATGACTAAAAGTGGGCATGTATAGCTCCTACGTGTGGATTGTATGAACACACGACAAGCATCGTCAAACGGTCACCCGTAAAACTACAAAAGGAGCAAACTTGGTGATCGAGATTCAAAGAAAAGCCAAAATTCAAATGATCTTCGTCTAATACATCTCATTATTGAAATGTGTATTGAAAAACTTTTTCACGACCCCCGTTTCTGTATACACGTTGCACAGAGCGTTCGTAGACTAAAAGTGTGAAAATCAGGTGGAGTTGTTTGTTATTGGAAAACCATACACGATAAATTTGCATCTATGATGTTTGAACACCAATATGATCTGTAAACGCTGGTTTGTAGGACTTTCGCTTAAGGTCGATAGAGAAATGTTCACCTTTTACGGATTCTCGTGCGGAAGGAATGATCGAAGCGGAATTAACCACCGAAGCCGTAGAGAGCGCGGCCTCGGCGTTTCAAAGTGTACACAACGTCCATGGCAGTGACGGTCTTTCGCTTGGCGTGCTCAGTGTAGGTGATGGCGTCACGGATGACGTTCTCCAGGAACACCTTGAGGACACAGCGGGTCTCCTCGTAGATCAGACCGGATTGCGCTTCACACCACCTCAGCGGGCGAGACGACGGATGGCCGGCTTGGTGATCCCCTGGATGTTATCGGGGAGAACCTTGCGATGGCATTTCGCTCCTCCTTTTCCGAGTCCTTTACCACCCTTACCACGTCCAGACATGATGATGGGTTGTTACAATCAAGACCGCAACGAGACGATGTGAAGCATGGACTCTGACCGACGATCATTTCCTCAAACAGGCCGAGGAGCTTGGTGACAGTTCTTGTGAAAATACGTGTTTCTATTTTGGTGGTATGATCAGCAGCCGGGAATACCTGAAAAACCACAGCGTGAAATAATCCTAGATCAAAACTTCCCTACTTTGCCGTGTCAGTCCGTCCTCCTTCCATGCCAAACGGTTGGTTGTGATGGGTTGCACCGACCGGACTTGGCTCGCCGATTCTTTGTACAAATAGCAAAACGAACACCCGTGGAGGAACTGTTCATCTTTACAACCAGACGTATCATTCATTTGCACTGTTGAATTCACTCCACGTCATCTGAATCTTATCTGTTAATTAACTATGATGAAATTCAAAGCAAACAGCTCGGTAGGTACCACGCCATCAGTAACTATATAGACCGAACAACCCGACTATTTAAATCAGTTCGATCCAAAGGGGAGACCGTGGGAACAGGAAACAATAGAACAATGGATTAGAAGTAGGGAATGTGAGCGCAATAGAGCGCAGTGGTTAAGACGCCAGCATACGGGCCGGAAGGTCCGTGGTTCGAAATCAGCCTCAGCATCTCGACTGCTCCTGTCTAGGCTTGGGCAACCTGACGGTATCTAAGCTCTGGTGCTAGGCTCTGGAAGGTCGCGGTGGGTTAAGGCCAGGTCAGCTGAGTGAAGCCATTGACAATACGACTACTCATATTTCATTCCGTAAATCAACATGCATTAGTTCCTGGTGGAAGTAAGTTGACACGAATTCAAGCGAGAACCACCTTTCATCTACTTGGGAGTTATAAGCAGACAAAGTTACCCTCACAGTGCTGCTATTTTCGGAGCGGACGATAAAAATATGCATCGAGCATCAAGTGCAGAAGCAGGTTTCGCTCGCTTGGCCACGTGCTCTGTGGAAACGAGTCAGGGGAGGTCCAAAGTGACTTGGCAGCGAAGTATGAAAGCCGTTACCAGCAAACCCAGTTGCGTTGGTCATTGCCATCTCCCTGGATGGGGACCCCGAGACGGGACACACGAATGGTCAGCAACATTGTCAGACATGGTCCAGTCGCGCCCTCAATAGCGCTCGTGCATCCAGGTCTTTTTTTTTATGCATAGCTCATCTTCCAACCTCCCCATTTGAAAGTTCACTGACAACCCTGTATTTACTCATCGATTACCACTTCCAGAGAGCAGCTTTCTACCCACCTACCCAAACCATCCGTGAACGGAGCTGCGGCAGTTATAAACACTGTACAACATGTGCGCGATTTTTACAGCTGATGATAAAGTGTAGAACCACGAATCAACACAATCCAATCATCGTAGTTCGTTTGCCCGGGAGGCTTTCATGGCCAACTACACTACCACGGCGCCATTCTTGTAACACACAGCGAAAATTTCCATAACGGGACCAACTTCACGAGCACTCAGGAATTTGGATAGAACAACTAAAAGACTCACTTGGGTTCGGACAGAACAGCGGTAACGGAGCTGTGGTGTAGTGAACGGGGTAGGCGGCTGAACTGAGACCACCCTTACGAGTAGTTGGGAGAGGATTGAGACGATTTGTCTTCTCGTTTGCACCGTTGACCGTTCCCAGGGACCCGTTGATGACCCCATTCGGACGATACAGGTCCGGCCGCTTTAGCCAACGCCGTTCGATAGCGCTCACTCGCAACTCAAGTTGACCACTGTTCAACCGGCCACTCGATGATAGCCATTTGGCCTGATTCAGCAAAGTCATCGGCTGGAAACGACAAGATATGTCAGGATCGAAGGTGGAGCTATTACGTGAGGGTTCGAGGCTGATACCGGGGTTGTGACACGGGAGGTGGAAAGGACTGACAAAAGGAGCCACAAGAGTATCAGCTGCACAGGGTTTGTGGCGCCAGGCCCAACCGAAACGGAAATAAAGACTGACCGATGCCTGAACGGAAGAATGTGATATAGGTGAGGAAAGTTAGGAGGGGAAATGACAAGATCTAGTAATATTTGCAAAAAGACTTGCGTACGCTCAGTTAATCATACAATCGAGATGCACTCGCTGTGAAGTGAGGCATCTTTTGGACCCAAACGCGAAACTGAATAAAACCAGGAGAGTGACACTGCACACAAGAAATTCGAAGTTGCTGAATTGGTACTTTTATGAACTGTCTGTCCTACTACCGTTTTACCGGTACCGATGTATGAAGCTTTTAGGACAGGGTAGAGCAGTATGTCTCAAGGCGCGTCTCTAGTTCGTAGACCTATTTTAGAATTAGCTGCGAATAAGCCAACTCCAGTGAGCACGCGGTTATTAGCAAACGGCGGCGGTACTAGCAGAGTGTGATGGACCTGATCGGTCCGATCCGTACAGAAGGTCACAAATTCACAGCATGGAACCCACGCGTGACTATACGGTTGCATGACCATGTTGAGCGCTGTTTGAAAAAAAAATTTAAGTCATCGCTGATTCAGCATAAACACCTTCTCGTCGACAGACATGGATGTGAAAAGACTTCCTGAAAGGTACACAAATCATTACTTTGAATTACCACACGCTGACATCCGTCCACGAATCTTACCTCGACCGTCACCCAGTCCAATTCGTTCATACTGTCAAAGAAACCCTCGAAAATGAGTTGGACTTCCTGTGGCCAGAATGGGAGGACGGCTGATAGGAGTGTTAGCTCTCTGGTAAGTGGACTGAGTTCCTGGGAGGGAGAAGTGCTGATATCGTTGTTGGTGTTCTTGGTAGGCGTTTTCCGACCAGGGGGTTGATGTCGTTCTCGGAGAATTCGCTCGGCAACACTGTTAACAGAAGGGCGAGGATCTGGGGAGAAAGAGCCCAAAAGGAAAAAAATGTGGCATATGAAGAGAAGCCACCGCGGAAAGGCATACTAACAGAGACATCCTTCGGGAGACTACCAAGAAAAGAGCGTTATAATTAGCCCATTGTTTCGGTCTAGCCTCATCGGGCAAATTCATACGAGGTTGGGCTGATGGGGACAATGTTTCCGACATTTCCAGGGATTACTTGATGTCTACCGCGGTCCCTGAAAAGTGCTCAACCACACAGCGCATCCCTCGAAGAATCAAACCGGGTGCTCTGGTTCCAAGCATTCCTATGCTATGGAAGACCCAGAGTTTTCTGAATATATACATACATAACGTGCTATATTTGTGGGTTTTGAAAGCACTGATAGGAATATTTAACCCCAAGAATGCAGGCCCGCTTAAAGCAAATATGTTCCTGAAGTATTTGCTCTCTGAGGGGAGCACTGCAAGCGGAACTACGGGGTCAGAGTAGGTGGCCTTTCATTTTATGTGATATAAATTGCTTTCTGTTTTCTGAAAGTGTAGACGGATACAGTTATTATTGGCGTCAAAGTGATTGCTGAAAAGCTAAATAGCTGGTAACGTGTTCTAAATGATCTTAATATGGGCGGTAGCTTTTGCTCACAAAGAACACGAAATATGACGGAGAACAGTAAATGCAATCTGGAAGAACAAATGCACCGACGAATAAGATTTCAGGGAAATGATAATACTCAAAGTGTGGCTGAAAATGGTTGAACAACGAGGCTATCGATTGGGTTGGTTGATGGAGTGACCCGAATGATTTCACATCAGTAGGCCTCGGAGGACAGATGTCTTTAAGCGTAAGCGATTGCAAGTTGTCATCGAAGTCTCGATGAAGCTTATTCTAAGGGACGAAATAACACCTGGACATTTTAGAACATGAAGAAAAATGGAACTTTCAGCGCAAGTTGGGACTGGGATAGTTACAAGTGGTCGCAAACTTAAAAAGTTAGAATCAGAAAAAGGTAGGTGATGGACGGAAAAGGCGAAAAGGAAGTGGGAAACATCTGGCTATTTTGGTAGTCACGAGGGTGGCCAGTTGCGCGGGCATTTGAACTGGGTTCGGTTAGCAGTGAAGAACAATCTAGGTCCGCTGAAAATACTTAACAAGACAGCCCATCAGGCAACGCTTCAGCTAGGGAGTCTGTCAAAATTCCCACTGAAACGCCTATAACGATGCATAAATGAGATGATGAAAAGTGGAACACATTAGGCGGACAAGACTCCACTAAAAGCACTAGTAAGTAGTGAATACATCCTCTCATGGAACCAGGGTGCCCAAGACAGCTGGTCAGGCGTTTGTTTGGAGCAAAAGTGTGTCTACTGTTCACTTAATGTACAAGTGTTTGAGTGCGTAGTCTCAAAAATACATGGACCGGTCAATATCGATCCCGACACACGAAAAACTGTTGCGTGGACACACCTCACACAACCATGAGAAGGGTGGAAAAGAACCAGGGGAGGTCAGGCAAAGAATTGACAGCGAAGTATGAAAGCGAATACCATCAAACTCAGCTACGCTGGTGATTACCGCCTTTCTGGATAGAGACCTTGAGACGCGACACATCACTAGTTAGATGCACTGTTGTACACGACCAAGTCACGCGCTCAATGGCGAGCATGTACCCAAGCTGTTGCCTTCGACGCATAGCTTCCCCTCCCGATTTATCCAACGAAAGACCCATGAAACCCATGTATCCACTCATCAATTATATTAGCTACCGCCCTCAATGCGTAGCTATCTAACTCTACCTCCTTATATCATTGGGGGGGGGGAGATGGCCGAAGTGGTTAGGGCGCGAATTTACTGACCGGAAAGTCCATGGTTCGAATCCGACCTCTGCCTCTCGACTTCCCCTGTCTAGGCCTAGGCAACCTGGCAGTATCCCAACCCTCGTGTTTCCTGCGGGTGGCATGGCAGCTAGGCACCGAAAGGGTGCTACAGCTGAACGATTACTATCATTATTATTATATCACTGACGAACCAAATTGCGGCAGCTACAGCCAGTGGACAACAAGTAATCGGTTTTTACAGGAGTTGATGGTGATGCGTGGGCAAGTAGTAAGGATGGATGTGATAAATGCCTCAGCGGGTGATTGCAGTGTCCCTCTTTCATCTTTTCAAAAAATCCCCCCCTTTGGAACCGAACAATGGTATCAGGTGCAAGATGGAACCATTGTATGCAGTTTCTCGAATCGCAACACAAGTAACAGTCAAGGAGTAAGAAAACCACAATCTGACTACACAAGAGCTTGTGGCATTTTTAAAAAATTTCATTCTCCGCTACAATCCTTGGAAAATTCATGTCCACAAAACGTTCTGTTTTCAGGGTCAGCGTTAGAAAGATAAACGTCTAGCGACGAGAAGCTGCCGTTGGCGGACACTTCACATGTCAAGCTCTAGGTTACCGCTACTCCGACTAGAGACGGAAAACCACATCCTTCTAGGTACGGGGAATTCGCCAGGCGTAGAAATGACCGAGTCACCTTAGCTTGCAATGTCGAATGCATTCTCAAACTGAAGTATCCGTTGCTTCACTGAGTACCTGAGGACCTCATTGTAAATCCGTTGATGCAAGCCGATTCCAGCTACAGTTTGAAGACATCAGTGGTCAAAGGTATGAAGACATCTCGAATTTTTCACCCGTAACGCCACCCAACAGTATGGTCCGCGCTGTACGCTGATACACACGTTCTTTGGGGCCTGATATGTCTTTTCGATGCCACAAATGAGGCGAGTTCGCAAACGTAATTATGATCTTTGAGATTCGTGTTTTGACTTCATATGTCAAACTGCCACAAGAGCTAACGCAATGTCTGAGATACTCAGTGTTCCTGAACCTCTAGTGTATCGCTTTGAATTATCAGAGGCATCTGTGGGTTCAGAGTGCAATCGAATTTCTGAAGTGCTAACGTGTCATCCTGCCTTGAAGCGCCAACGGGATGCAGGGCCGGATGAGTTCCCAGTAACGTGGTGAATGTTCGTGTTTTATTGAAGTAAACTACTAACAAGGTTGCTGAATACTCTGACAGCTCACTACCGATTTAGACCATCTTGGGCCTCATCAGGTAGGCGCGGTTCCCGAGTTCCGACAAACTTCACGTTCGACTTGAAGACGCATTATACAGAATTTGCGAATCACTCTCATTTGCACATCAGTTTAATTCCAACGGGATACTCAACTGCGAGATCTCTTCAACTATACAAAAGTCACATCATGTTTCAGTCGGTACGATATTCGAGATATCGCAGTATATTTTCAATGAGTTGTAATTAATATCGCGTATAGTTTCAGTGAATAAAGGCACATCCGTCTGTTTCTATCCGTTTCAATCAAAGCAACGAAGAGGCGACCTTTATCTGTAGGTATAAATGCTTTAACATTCCCACCCTCAGGAATACATGTTTTTATGGAGAAACACTGCTCTTCACCAGACTGGTAACCAACCGCGACAGTTTTCCTCAAGTGTAGGGCGTGCCTGGTGAGACAAATAGGTTTATATTATAATACAAAAAATTTAGAGACCAGAAAATTCTGTCTTCCTCACAGAAGGCAATTCTCATTGGGAGTACAGTACATAACGATTGGTACTGAGCGTATTATGTGACAGATCCGACAATGCATTTTACGGAACTCACGACTTGACGTCTTCCCAGTAGGCTTTGTGTCGGAAGACAAAGGAGCGGAACGGAGGTAACTTAGTGTCCGATTCAGGTATAAAGGCCGTTCGCGGTGCCGGATTGCTAGATACCGATACAAGTGAGTGGGTATGGCAAAAGCTTTTACAAAGGCCTCGTGGTTCTCCTGGTTGGTGGTTTCTGAGACTATTGATTTCCCCAAGCGTTTGAGTTTCCATTTCGAGGAACGATATTGAACCGAACCCGAGGTGCGCCTTGTCTGCTTGACCGGTTGCACCTTCCGTCGGGTGTAAGGGCGACGGATGGCAAATGTTCCCGGAGATTGGAGAGGCACGTTGGCCTCTTCAAAAGGAGCTAGTTCGGCGGGCTGGACGAATTCCGGAACTGGCACATCCGTAGATGGAGTAGGTGCGAATTCTTGAGCAGTACAAGACTGCCTTCTGGAGGGACGCCTCAGGGAACGACTGTACTGACGCTTGGGTTTCGATGTAGCTCGAGCACGGGAGCAGGAAGGCGTGCGTCGTACGTAGGTGCGCTTACGAGAAGATCCATTATGTGACAAAACTACCTGCTTTCGATAGGGGGTTGTTCGCCTTGACGGCACCTGAAACAGAAGATGGCTACAATTATGCAATCATTAAAGCGGGTCCACATTGTAAAAAAGACAGACTTGGAAAACTCGAGCTACGTAATGAAGATTGGATAGAGCATTTTTCACATGCGAGATTGTCATTGGGAGCAACGAAACACAACGGTGTGTGAAATGCTAAAAAGCGTCGCAACAACAAATGACAGCCCACGTGCTCGTTCATGCTGGAGATAATGAACAGCAATCATAGACCTGCGCATGGTGAGTTCTGCTCTAAGCTATAGGACTTTCGTAACTATGAAAGCAACGTCAGATTCACTAGTCAAGTTCACCGGATGGTCCAGATATTAAGCGGTACGCAGTTCATGCATGGAAAAATAATTCAAGGAGTCAGATAAACCATCTGAGTAGATGGTAAACACAGGCCTAACAAAGCTAATACGTGTCGTCGGTTACCCGGATCCCGCAGATGCAGGCACACATTTCACCTCGTATAATCCACTCGTCTGTGTCAAACCGTAAAACTCGGAACCAAATGAAAGGGTGCACCTAGCTGATAGGCCAAGAAAATAGCTAGACAAAAACACTTACCACCGGTTTGCCCAAGCGAGTTTCCGGTTTCCGAGATGATGACGACCGTGGGGAAGTGTTACCTGAGCGTGCCTCGGTGATAGTAGCGCGTCGTCCTGTGCCGTTAGGACGTGATTTTCTGCCAGGTGTAGCATTCGTGGTACTTTTGCGTCTAGATAGGATATCAGAGAGGCGGCGTGGGACTGACTGTTCCCAAAGAGTGGACGAAATTTCGATGCTGTGCTCATCGGTTAAGTCCATCAATGGGACCAACCCCAGATTGCTGAAACGGAAACAAAAAGGATGTATTTGCTAGAAGGACACTTGAAGGGTGGGTAACAATGTTGGAGGTGACAAAATGTCAACAGTCGACGGTAAAATCGAGCGGCAATGAAAAAGCACTGTCTTATGGCTGGTGACTGGAGAAGCAACATATACAGGGTCAAGAGCGCTGAGGTCGCCAACAACACCAGGATCATCAGTACGACTTGAAACTCTGTATGCTATTGGCGCTCAGTGGGGAAATGTCGAGACAATTGGGAAATAAAGACAACACGAATACTATTTTCTCGGACGGAGGATGGCTTAGAAATAGATGCAGGCAAAGTGAGCGACATCGATAATAACAAATTGATCGAAGCCCGTAAAACGACAGCAGTGGGGCGAGGGTAGTGTAAGATAAGTTATACAGCTGGTTGCAAAGATTTTTCTATCGATAATAGGCGGGACTGGAGGAAAGGACAGACAACGCTCTTGTTTTCGGACCGCAAACCTGCAAAATGAGATGGAGCTGCGAGTGATCAGGACGAACACGCCCCAAAGCAAAAGTATGGAACCAGCAGTGATTATCATCATAGCGGAATACGACATGGATAGAAATGGAGGACATTAGGAAAAAGTGTGGGAACTGCTGGCATTGTTCGTCCTCTAAGCTAGAGTCTCCGTGTGCTGACTATATGCACTGAAAGATATGGCGGCTGACTGACAATCTCTGTTCGGATTGCCCGGTCTGTTGCTGACAATCAATCAATCAATCAATCAATCAATCAATCAATCAATCAATCAATCGATTTAGCAGCTATAAACCTTGTGTCATAGTCACCTTGGTTCCAGCTGCTACAGCTTCGAACACCGGGTAGTGGGGTAGTCTGGAACATACAGCCAAGCCCCGGAGACGATGGCATATTCAGTTAGTTAGGGAACTGGGTAACTACGCATTGAAGACGATAGCTTTGATGCACGAGCGCCACTGACTGTGCGATCGAACCACTTCTACCAGTGTCATTAACCATTAATGAGTTGGGTTCCGGGGTCCCCATCCAGAGAGGCGGCAGCTGTCCACCCAACTAAGTTTACTTGTGAGTGTTGTCATACTTCTTCGCCAAGGCATGCAGTCCACCTTTCCGTCGTCTCCACTTGGCAGAGGTCTGAGCGGAAAGAGCTCTGTGAGGCAGACGGTCTTCTGGAATGCGGAGCACATCTCCTAATCATGTGAACTACGAAGCGTGAGTAATCCATCTACTTCAGGAGATTCTATCCTTCCTAGTACCGTTTGGCGTACCTCGGCATTACTAATCCGACGAGTACTTCGGAGACACCAATGGTCGAACGCTGACACCTTTTGTAGGTCCTCTGCGCGCAAAGACCACGTCTCTGATCCACGAGGCAGTATGGATCGCACTGCCAGTGTAAACTCTGCCTTTGGTAGACTAAATGCCGTCAAGCCGGCGCCGTAGGTGTCGAGGTTGGCAAAAAGCTGTCCTGGCCTTCCCTATTCGAGAAGTAATCTCCTCTTCAGCCACTCCACCGGAACTTATACAACTGCCCAGGTAAACAAATTTATCCACCAATTCGACTGGCAAGTCTGTAAGTATGAGGTTTAGGTTTGGTCCAACCCAGTCTTGTAGCAGAACTACACTTTTCAGGTTTGAGGCGCACGCTAAACCGTGAGGCAGAGTTATTTAGGTCATTTAAAATGGCTCACATTTTTAAAGAATCTGAACCAAGGAGAGTAATATCGTCCGCATACTCAGCGTCCTGAAAACAGTTCGAATCGCGAGGTTCCAGAGACAGGCAGGGAAATTTCAAGCAACACGTCAATAAATTTTAAGACAAAAGGTGAGATGGGGTACCACTAGACGTGGTGAACTCAGGCAAAAGCTTGTCGTATACTCACACAAGAGTTCGTATACAGAACCCTCATAAGGGATACAGATTTGGAAGGGACACCTGTGATTACCAGACACCACCACAGTTTCTGACGATCGACAGAATCAAAATCAGCTTTCAGAACACGAAAAAGGACCAGCATGGGACGTCTGAAGAAGTTGCGCTAGTTCAAGGATTTGTCTCAAGATAAACATATGGTCGATGCATCCTCGGTTAGGTGAAACGTAGCTTGGTTCTCACGGATTTCTCTTCCGATAATCGATCGACGGCAGTGAAGCATCGGTGTTGAACACTGACGTCATGCTGTCGATGATGATGATGACGACAATCGATCAACCTGCGCAAAATAATGCTGGAGAGCTCAAGGCTGATGCCACAATGGTTTTCGCATGACGTTCTTGCGCTCATTTTAAAGACTGAGATGACGGTCGCGGAGCTCCATTCGGTTTTTATTATGATTTCGTTTCAAAGCTCCTGCAAAATGGTTGTCAGACTATTCACCACGACCTCATCACCTTCTGTGGGGAGCGCGGGGTGTAGACCCTCCGGGCCAGGTGCCTTGTCGCGTCGGAGGATTGATATCTTGCTGTCGTTGATGACAGGTTGGTGTTGATGTCCATATAGGCCAGCTGGGCTCTTCCAGCGGTCGTGTTGAATAAGGCCAGCTGAACGTTTTTTGAAGTGCTCAGCCCACCGCTAAAGACGGCGAATGAGGGAGTGAATTGCCATTCCGTCTTTTTTGCATATTGTTTCGCTGATATCTGCCTTCCTTTGACCGGCTTGTCGAATCAGTAAAACAAGGCGCGGCTGTTACCTGCGGTGCAAGCCTTCCCCATCTCCTGCGCCTTCGAAATCCACCAGCGTTCTCTGTCATTCTTCAAGCTCCTAACTATCCAGTATTTGAGAGATTTGCATGCGCCATTCCACTCGTTAGTTGTTGGTATGGCCCTCCTAGCAGCAATATAATCTGCTGATCTTGACGATATCCACTGTTCATTTACCCGAGTCACAGAGCCCGGAGAAACAGTTCTGAAAGCTGAAAGCATAGCTCCTTTGACTCGCCTCCACCCCAAATCCAAGCAATCTTCGTCATGCACAAGAATTTAAGTTTCCAATACTTTTCCAGCCAGATCAGCTCGATGCTCGTGAGTTACTGAAAACTGTCGAAGTTGGTCAATGGGACTGTTCTCCTTTGGCAAGGTCAATGCAGACAGAAAGCGAAGTGCAAACCGGGCCCCAACAATGGCGTGATCAGAGTCAGTTGCGCATCACAAGAATTTAAGTTTCCAATACTTTTCCAGCCAGATCAGCTCGATGCTCGTGAGTTACTGAAAACTGTCGAAGTTGGTCAATGGGACTGTTCTCCTTTGGCAAGGTCAATGCAGACAGAAAGCGAAGTGCAAACCGGGCCCCAACAATGGCGTGATCAGAGTCAAGTTGCGCATCGCAGAAAGAACGAAAATCTTTAACTGAGGTTCTCCTCGGCAACCGATAGCTACATTGTCCAACTGAGTCCTTGACTGCCTTGTAGTAGGTGGCCTCCAATTTACTGACCGGAAGGTCCGTGGTTCGAACCCGACCTCTGCCACTCGACTTCCCCTGTCTAGGCTCGGGCAACCTGGCAGTATCCCAGCCCTCGTGCCTCCTTCGTGTGGCATGGCAGCTAGGCACCGAAAGGGTGCTACAGCTGGACGACTATTATTATTATAGGCGGCCTCCAAGTAACTCGATGTGAGCGTTTATATTAGAACTTCGTACTAACAGGAATAGACAACGATCTGAACACAACTGAAGCAGTCGCTCCCCATTATCCGTACATGAGAATCCACCTCAAATCTATCACCTTCTTCCAGACTTAGTCGTCCATTTCTTCCACGAAGATTATTATATTTCCCCTTCTTTCCGACCGAAGAAGTCGTGACAGATCTTGACAAAGTCCATCTTTCTCAGTCTCAGAACTGCAGTTTGCCGAGGTGCATGCTGATACGACAAATAAACACCATTTAACGCATTGATCTTAATTGAGCCAGACAACCGCACAGCTCAAAGACAACTATTTATTGGGATCCAATCTAGTTAAACACTTTCAGCCTTGGAGCTGAGTGCGACTCCTACATCGTAGATACAACGAGTCGTTGCTTCTGGACCACAAGATACCCGAAGAGGGGTCTTGTATGCGTGTTTCGGAGACACAACATACATCGACAGAATGGGGAAGCAAGGTTTCGTCAAGAAATATCTGCTGCCCAATTCGACATAAAGTGTGGACATCAAAGGCTGCAACGTGGGTGAGATCTCTTGAGGTGAGTATTTTGGTTTATTTTTCCGGGTGAAGGTTAAGACCCGAAATAATGGCTAGGGAACTGGCAGGTGGCCTGATCACAGTGCATCGTTCGAATGAATGAAGAGGAAGTGTGGGAAGCCGGTGAGCGAAGAGCTACAAGGGCAAACGATACCCTCCGGTTGCCCCAACCGAGGAAGGGGTATTAGTTGAGTTACCCCACCTTGGGCCTTTGACTCAGAAGTCTGACCCATAAAGCAGTAGTAGTATGTGGGGTTTTGTTCAGGGACCCTGCCCCTAGCCTCCGACTCAGAAGTCTGAAACGTGAGGCAGCGGAGCCAATAACTCACTAGTCTGACCCACTTGGCTGCAGGGGGCCGGCCTGACCCGAGGGCGTAGAAAGACGGGCATTACCGTCTCACTTCTAATGCAGTTGCGCACAGCAGGTGTATTTTGAACAGTACCAGACTTTGGTTTTAAAAGTATTTTGACCGCAATGAATAATGCGCCGGCGGTCACGGTCAACCGTTGGGGGATCGGAGTGTGCAGATTTTGGGACCGACCTTTCCCAACCCGTCCTTCATTGGGAGAAGGCAGTATCGCTGATTCCATAAATATGGACATGCTGGTCGCCTGGGGGAAACGTCTGACTGAATTTACACTCCTATCACAGAGGACAGTACGACTTTACCCCCAGACTGCCTCGTAGCACGATTGCTTACAGTACGGAGACTTGCTGTCATCGGGTTACTCCCCATTGACCTTCCTGATATGGTTGGGTTGGTTGAAACTGAGTTCCAGACAGTATGGTCCGCAGGATCACTGCAACAAAGAAGCCTGACTACCATGACAAGCTTTAGACCGATTTTCGTGGTGGACTAGCCTCAGGTCCCCCTCTCTTCCTCGCTTTTCTTTCCGTTACAGGGCCTTATTCAAGTATGTTGTCATGGATGTACGGAAGTGAAAATGTTAATGATGATGGTGACTATGGTGGGTGCAACTGAGCGCTCTTTAGTAGGCGAGCGACAGGTCTCGTAAGAAATAAAATTCAGAGTTTGCCAGATTATTTCAACCAATAACTCTAAAAACAAGTGAAAAAGCAGGTATCGTCCTGCCAATAGGTTTTGCTGGTATTTTTGGTCAATTTCCATCACAGTCCATGTTGCTGAGGGAGATTATTTGGTTCAGCTCCACGGCAACCGTCAACTTCATTTTTGGGCAAAAGACGCTTACAAATCTGTACACTTGGAGATTGGTCCACCCGACGGCTGCACTAGAAGCAACAGAAGCGAGTTTTCTGTGATATGGGGAACGTGAATCACTTTTCATGACAATCCGTGGCATAGCCAAGTACTTCAGTATCTGGCTTTGTGCATCAAGATCAGTCTAACTGTTTCATAATGATAATTAGCTTCGTAAAACAGACATGCTGCAAACAGGCATTCCACAGACTACGGTTTGTCTCCCCTAGAGGTTCCACGTCCGTAACACAATGCAACCACACTATGGAAAAGGAAGTACCGTCGTCGATTCCAGGTAACATGGGATTCGGTCTAAAATAGGATGCGTTGAATATGGGGCCTTTTACGTTCAAAGCTTTGTTCTGGTTGGATGGTGGTGCCCCCTCACCCTGAACAGCAGTGGAGTTGCTGGTTCTGTTGCCTGCCTCTAGCGAGCCAAGAGATAGAGTCCATCTGTTTTCGACGTCATCGTCATCGCATATCTCGGAAGGCATTATCAATGTGGAAAACCAGTCTGTGCCGGCTTCAGTAGTGGCTTTTGTACCGCACATCTCGAAGTCCAGATGCGTAGCATAACAATTCACCATAACCTCTCCTCGATATCAATTGTGGAGGCAACATATAAAAGGGGCTATGCCTACCAAGCGAGATGGCTGTGGTTAGAGCGCGAAGTTGCTAGCCGGTAGGTTCGACTTTCCCTGTCTAGGCGTGGGCAAATTGTCAGTATCCCAGCCCTCATGCATCCTTCTGGTGGTATGACAGTTGGGCACCGAAAGGGTACTACAGCAGAACGATTTTTATTTTTATTTGCCCACCTAGCAGGCCTCCGAAAGTCCGGAGAGCGGAAGTACGTTTTTAAACCATATTTTTTGTTCTGATTAATACCGGAAAAAAGTATCGTAAGTCCTGCAAATCTTCGTAGTATTCGAACAATCCGCATATTATTGGAACCCTGGATCGCTTGGCATTAAGAGACTGAACAGTTAACAGCTTTCATTACATCTGTCCATAACCTTGTTGCATTGCAAATGACAAGAAGGATGGACGACGTGTAAGCCCCTTCGCAGGAGTTCGAAACAGCTCAGTGGTTAAGGAGTCAGTTTACGGGCCGGGAGGTTCGTGGTTCGAACCCAACCTCAGCATCTCGACTGCTCCTGTCTAAGCTTTGGCAACCTAATAATATCCCAGTCCTCGTGCCTCCTTCCTTTGGCGCAACAGCTAGATGCCGAAGGGGTGCTACAGCTGAATGAAAGCTCTTTCGCACAGAATTAGCCGTACTGGACGCCTCGGTAACAAAATTCACTGAAGCCTATTCGGTAGGTTTGGGGGCACCATGCATAAGTCCACCTTATTAGGAAGGGGACGAGATGGCCCAAGTGGTTAGAGCGCGAATTTACTGACCGGAAGGTCCGTGGTTCGAATCCGACCTCCGCCTCTCGACTTCTCCTGTCTAGGCTCGGGCAACCTGGCAGTATCCCAGCTCTCGTGCTTCCTTCGGGTGGCATGGCAGCTAGGCACCCGAAGGGTGCCACAGCTGAACGCTTTCTTTCTTTTTCTTTCCTTGGTAGGAATTAATCCTTTAGCTTCCAGATTTCTTCGGAGAGAGCGAATAAGGCTGCTTCCTGGATTCGCTGTCCGATCAGACAGCATCATGCTATCTTGTACTCCAGATTCCATTTTCATGTACCGGCCACTCACCACGGGGCTATAATAAAATAAAAAAGTAGTCATATGTAACACACTTCCCGTACCTAGTTGACATGCCATCCGAAGAAAGCACGAGGGCTGGGCTACTGTCATGTTGCCTTCGCCTACAGAAGAGCAGGCGAAATGCGGAAGCTAAATTTGAACCAAGGATCTTCCGTTCGCACCTTGACTACTGAGCTACTGTGAGCTCTATGCTATGCTCAGCTTTTACGAATTTGAGATTCAAGAGAAAAGCTACCTGGAACCTCGTGGTGAAATTAGTCATTTGGTATTCCAGAACCATATGACATGAACCTAGAGATGCAGACAAGGCCGTGCATCAGGAAGGTGCCACTGCTGGACGTCCAGTGGTTTTGTTAAGGATGCTAAAAGAGAAGTCGGTCAGCTAGCGTGCAGTCATCGCAGGCCTTTGGGGCGATTTTCGCCAATGGGGCTGTTCAATCGATCGGAAATGAGGCCATCGCCAGATCTATATTGGAATCCCATGTCTCTCTAGTACAGACTATTAGTGGTCCCGACAGCCCCACCAGTACAACGTCCAGTGACAAAAAAATCCTTAAGAGAAGCATCATACATTGGCAATAACCCAGCGTAACATGAAATCGACCCACAAGACCACTGTGCGACAGGTATTCCTGCCTTTGTGGATAGCCTGATATCAGTTGGAGGCGACGGATTCATCACAAGTGCCATACACTTCAACCTTGTCGAGGTTCCCAGTACCATCAACTAGCGATTTGTTGAGTCTCAAGATCTCTACAAAAGCAAGCGGCAGTTATCAAACGGACTGAGTTTACTGGTGAGTACTTTCATGCTTCGCCGCCAGACTGCCGTTTCTGAATCATCCCCTCTCAACAGAACCGGGCAAAAGGAGTCCTCAGGTATATGGAATACGTGTTCTAACCAATGTAGCCTGTGACGTGTGAATAACTCGTGGGTCGCGGGAGGATTCGTTCCACCTAAACCATCTGATGTGCCTCACGATTGGTAACCCGATGTTCCCAACACACACAGCCAATGATTCGGAGAAATCGCACGCCCTCTGTGCATAGAAGCCATGCTTCTGACCCATAAGGTAGTATGGATTGCACTTTTTTAGTGTATACTCTGCACTTAACAGACAAACTGACAAGCTACCAACAGATTGGAACTCATTTTTGAAAAATGAAGACGACTCGAACAATATAAAATAATCAACACCACCTCCTCTACGTTCAGTGGGCGGAATTGAATATCACAACTCGATCCTTTGACCGTGCCAAGTGTTAATCTCGGGAACATGCTCCGGGCGGACGCCGGACCTGACATGTGGTTGGACAGGGTCGGTAAGAAAACAAACCACTGAGAGACGACCGCACAAACTTCTATCTTGGATTGATTCCAATTAACGAAGGCTCAAGGAGAGGGAAGCTTTGAGGCCACCCTGGATCCTGAAGTTTGTCCGAAGTATGGAGACTGGAAGGACCACTGCACTCATCTGAAGAAATCAGACGAACGGCACCATGTAACGGCCGGTTAGATCTTCAGTGAACGCATCAATACAGGCTTAATTAGTTAAAAGAATGCCAGAGAGGACAACGCACTAGCATCCCTGCACTATGCTAGACCAGGCGCATTAGTTGAGAATAATGCCACAAATGCTCGAAGCTTAAACCGTCGGTATGTGTTAATGTACACGTTGCTGAGACGTTGATAACGCAGCTACCTAGCAAGTCGCTGAATGCTACTTGGACCATCCGTTCAGCCGACAGTAAGTCTGGCAACACTTCAGGAGGCCTCTCTGACAAAATAAGTACTCCACATTCCAAGACAGTGGTCACCAGGATCTTCAGAGCCACAAACAAGCAAGCCTTATATCTGTCACATATAAGACCATAGGGAAGTTGATGTAAGATCAAACTGTCATAAACTAATTAAAAATACACTAGACACTAGTAGTTAAGGAGATAAATTTTCACTCTCCTGGTTAAGGAGAAGTGAGCCGAAGTTGTCGGCAGTGACAACAAGGTCGCGGTGCAGTTAAGAGCTTAGGTAAAGCATTTGGTTTCGTATCACATCAGCGGCTCTTCCAGAAACTGGTATCGTGTGGAATAAGATAAAAGCACCTAGCACGGATTGCAGATTTTCCCACGAGTTAAACGATAGGAATAAGACAAAATCTGGTGAACTGCACGATTAGCGTCATAAGGATCCACCTCCGAGCCCGAATCATTTCAATCACACGTGAACGATCCGATTACCAAATTTGGTGTTTACGGGCTATCTAAAATTTCGGCCGGTCATCAAAATCGGTAGTGACAAACGCTTCAGAACGCTGGTCTGGAAGATGGATACTGTTAATTAATTATGACGAACAGTGATTTTCCGACACCTAACTGTTGATGCATACAAGATTGGTGGCAGAAATGGTTGAGTCAAGGCGACACCAAATCTAGTAAGACTGTTAGAGGATAATAAATAATAATAATAATGATAATTGTTCAGCTGTAGCACCCTTTCGGTGCCTAGCTGCCATGCCACCAGAAGGAAGCACGAGAGCTGGGATACTGCCAGACTGCCGACGCCTGGACTGGGGAAGTCGAAATGCAGAGGTAGTGTTCGAACCAAGGACCTTCCGGTCAGTAAATTCGCGCTTTGACCACTAAGCAACCTCGCCCCAGAGGGTACTAAAAGGACATCGCTGGCAATCAAATTCATGTTGACAATAATGCCCTTCAGCAGACTAACCCTAGAAGTACTTTGAATCCTGTCCCCTATTCATACTATACCTTTTTAGAGTATGAACAGCGGCAGTTATGGAAAGATCATGCTGAAGGATAGTTTCAGAAGGCGGAACCTAAAGTAGGAGCGTTAATTACACAATAATGGGGAAAATTAATATCGCTCCACTTTAATACCACCGATTTTGGGGTTTTAGTGCACTTAGAAGGCATATGGAGATCTGGGATCCTATCTAAAAGACTACTTTCCCTACGAAAAGAGCACGATAACACATGCACAGGAGCTAAGGCTTTGTCAGCATACAAAAACTGGGCTGAACCCTTAAGTCACTTTGACTTCGAGGATTAACCCCAGGAGCGGCCTAAAAACCGAAGTGACCAAAGAAAAATAGAAGACGTCAGACAAATAGCTCTGACTTGATGGACTTTATCGGAAACTGGCAACTTTATTGCGGGAAGAGTGCGTTGCAGATGCTGACCAGACCTGCTAAGTGAGAAGGATTGGAGGATGTAAAGGATTTTTTGCATCCGACGCCTAAATCACAGATTGTAGAATAATTTACGTCGGATATTGTCACGTGTACTTACAGACCACAAGTGAATGTACTTTGAGTTGTTTGCTTTCATTAATTCAAACTGGCAGTCTATCTGTAACGCCACAACGCTGACAGGCAGTGCAAAACCGGACTTCAGACTCGTCTTTCAAGCAAGGCGTATCAGCCCTAAAGACCACTAACCAATACACGTCGAAAACTTGGGCGGTCGCCGCGTGTCAATGTATCAGTCGTCCAATCAAGTTGTCTTACAAAGTGTCTTTATACTCTGAGAGTTTATTCGGTACCGGTCGGGGGCAGCAATAAACAAGCGAGAACCAGTTCCTAACAACCACACAACCACAGAGGAAGAACGCTGTAATAAAAGGCAAAACGAAAGGTGTGGCTTGATGCGGAAATCTTTATGCACCTAAGGAAGACGAACAAGAGCATGGTGCATCAAACTTCCAAAGCCATTCAAACAAACACATGAACATAATACGGCAAGATAGCATCCGTGCGATTCACCCAACCTCATTTGCGAACCTAACCCAACAAAGTCACAACCCAGCTGAAGCGCTAGTCGGGCAGTTCGGTTGCGAAGTTCAAGCATCCCAAGCAAGGTGA